ACAGAGAACCCGCAAGACGTCTAGCTATGTCTACTAGAGCATCAAATTTTGGAGATTTATATTGCTGACAAATAGCAATGTTCAGTTGTTCTCTCAATTTCTTACTAGACAAGCCATCAAAAAATCTTTGAGCACAAAGTTCACTTTTGTTTGATTTTGCGAATGAGGGGTACGCTTCATCAACCTTGATCTGAAGAAGGTGGGCAAAATCATCAATAGATTTATGGGTTTTTTGACATGTCTCTGAACTCCCTAGTAGCAGTTTGAGTACGCTCTTGGGCCTTATCAAGTTCTTTAATCAAAGCATTTTTCAGAGTTGCATAATCAGCTTTGTTATCGTCAGGGATATCGTTAAATACCCGTGAGCAAAACCCTGCAGGAAGTACTAAAGCTAAACCACATAACTTCTTCTCAGAGTTCCAATTAAGGCCCCAAGCTTTCACTTCATACACATTTTCAATAAAGTTCGCAAAAGTTGACTGTTTTGGATCAAACAAATGAATTCGGAAGTGCTTGATATCACCAGAATGTTCTTGATGTGTACCACCTTCGGCCATGATGAATGGATTAGTATTCTTGCTCAAATGTTCAAAGTCAATCACAAAGTAGACAAAAACGTTCAACCACAAGGTCAAAATGGCAAAATGGAACAAACTCACGTTACAGTTCGATGAAGAGCACATTCCTTGAATTTCTCCTTTAAGTAGCACTTTCTTCAAAGTTCTTTCATGAGTTCACGCTTCAACACCGCTGCCACCATTGTAAGGTCTTCTGGCCCATATAACATACAACACAAAGGTACGTACACAATACGTTTACTTGACAAAGACAATAACGAGACTCGTTACAATCGAAACCGGATCACGCGTCATAGTCCATGATTCCACGTGCAGCCACACCCTACTGTTGGGGACCGTTGCGTTCGGGCGAAGCTGTCCAGTACCGGGAACAACCTCACAATTACAAGGACAGCGAAACCGTTCCTTGTGCGCTGGCCTTCGCTTCCTGGGGCGTACATAAAATAGCCACGATCAGCGTTAGCAGTAGCAGTTCGCGTCGATAAAGCGGGTGCATGCAACTGTGAAAGTAGAAATGCTATTTGTTGATGCAGGTGTGAGTGCATGAGTAAGGATGATTTTACGCCGCAGTTAGCAATATACCAACACTGTCACGACGGTGACACCAGGAATGGGCAACATTCTGGGAAAGTTTGATTTGTTTGTTTGTTATTTCCCGCTATATGAAGGCGGTCTGTAAATAATCGAGTCTGGACCAGACAATCCAGTGATTGATATCATGAGCATCGATCCAGGCAAAATGGATACGATGATATGCATCAACCAAGTCAGCGAGCCTGACCACCCGATCCCGTAGCATAGTCGCCTTTTGCGGCAAGCATGGGTTGCCTCCTTACAATAAAGCATGGAGGTTTTGAATATTTTGTGTATTGGAGACTTTGAGTAAATTGGTCATTGGTGTATTGGAGACTTTGAATACATTGATCATTGGTGTATTGGTGACTTTGAATAAATTGATCATTGATGTATTGGAGAATTTGAATAAATTGATCATTGGTGTATTGGAGACTTTGAATACATTGATCATTGATGCATTGGTGACTTTGAATACATTGATCATTGGTGTATTGGAGACTTTGAATACGTTGATCATTGATGTATTGGAGACTTTGAATAAATTGATCATTGGTGTATTGGTGACTTTGAATACATTGATCATTCGTGCATTGGTGACTTTGAATACATTGATCATTGGTGTATTGGAGACTTTGAACAAATTGATCATTGATGTATTGGTGACTTTGAATACATTGATCATTCGTGCATTGGTGACTTTGAATACATTGATCATTGGTGTATTGGTGACTTTGAATAAATTGATCATTGGTGTATTGGTGACTTTGAATACATTGATCATTCGTGCATTGGTGACTTTGAATACATTGATCATTGGTGTATTGGTGACTTTGAATAAATTGATCATTGGTGTATAGGTGACTTTGAATACATTGATCATTCGTGCATTGGTGACTTTGAATACATTGATCATTGGTGTATTGGTGACTTTGAATACATTGATCATTGGTGTATTGTTGACTTTGAATACGTTGATCATTGGTGTATTGGAGACTTTGAATACATTAATCATTGGTGTATTGGTGACTTTGAATACATTGATCATTCGTGCATTGGTGACTTTGAATACATTGATCATTGGTGTATTGGTGACTTTGAATAAATTGATCATTGGTGTATTGGTGACTTTGAATACATTGATCATTCGTGCATTGGTGACTTTGAATACATTGATCATTGGTGTATTGGTGACTTTGAATAAATTGATCATTGGTGTATTGGTGACTTTGAATACATTGATCGTTCGTGCATTGGTGACTTTGAGTAAATTGATCATTGGTGTATTGGTGACTTTGAATAAATTGATCATTGATGTATTGGTGACTTTGAATAAATTGATCATTGGTGTATTGGTGACTTTGAATACATTGATCATTGGTGTATTGGTGACTTTGAATACGTTGATCATTGGTGTATTGGAGTTTTTGAATAAATTGATCATTGGTGTATTGGAGACTTTGAATAAATTGATCATTGGTGTATTGGAGACTTTGGATAAATTGATCATTGGTGTATTGGGCACTTTGAATGAATTGATCATTGGTGTATTTTGGAATTTGAATAAATTGATCCATATGTATTGCAGACTTTGAGTAAATTGATCATTGGTGTATTGGGGACTTTGAATAAATTGATCCTTTATGTATTGCAGACTTTGAATACATTGATCATTGGTGTATTGGAGACTTTGAATACATTGATGATTGATGTATTGGGGACTTTGAATAAATTGATCATTGGTGTATTGGTGACTTTGAATACATTGATAATTGGTGTATTGGTGACTTTGAATACATTGATCATTGGTGACTTTGAATACATTGATCATTGGTGTATTGGAGACTTTGCATAAATTGATCATTGGTTTATTGGTGACTTTGAATAAATTGATCATTGGTGTATTGGAGACTTTGAATACATTGATCATTGGTGTATTGGTGACTTTGAATAAATTGATCATTGGTGTATTGGAGACTTTGAATAAATTGATCATTGGTGTATTGGAGACTTTGAATAAATTGATCATTGGTGTATTGGAGACTTTAAATAAATTGATCATTGGTGTATTGTTGACTTTGAATACATTGATCATTCGTGCATTGGTGACTTTGAATACATTGATCATTGGTGTATTGGTGACTTTGAATAAATTGATCATTGATGTATTGGTGACTTTGAATAAATTGATCATTCGTGCATTGGTGACTTTGAATACATTGATCATTGGTGTATTGGTGACTTTGAATAAATTGATCATTGGTGTATTGGAGACTTTGAATAAATTGATCATTGGTGTATTGGTGACTTTGAATACATTGATCATTGGTGACTTTGAATACATTGATCATTGGTGTATTGGTGACTTTGAATAAATTGATCATTGGTGTATTGGTGACTTTGAATAAATTGATCATTGGTGTATTGGAGACTTTGAATAAATTGATCATTCGTGCATTGGTGACTTTGAATACATTGATCATTGGTGTATTGGTGACTTTGAATAAATTGATCATTCGTGCATTGGTGACTTTGAATACATTGATCATTGGTGTATTGGTGACTTTGAATAAATTGATCATTGGTGTATTGGAGACTTTGAATAAATTGATCATTGGTGTATTGGTGACTTTGAATACATTGATCATTGGTGACTTTGAATACATTGATCATTGGTGTATTGGTGACTTTGAATGAATTGATCATTGGTGTATTGGTGACTTTGAATACGTTGATCATTGGTGTATTGGTGCCTTGAATAAATTGATCATTGGTGTATTGGAGACTTTGAATAAATTGATCATTGGTGTATTGGAGACTTTGAATAAATTGATCATTGGTGTATTGGGCACTTTGAATGAATTGATCATTGGTGTATTTGGGAATTTGAATAAATTGACCCATATGTATTGCAGACTTTGAATAAATTGATCATTGGTGTATTGGGGACTTTGAATAAATTTACCTTTGATGTGTTGGAGACTTTGAATAAATTTACCTTTGATGTGTTGGAGACTTTGAATAAATTTACCTTTGATGTGTTGGAGATTTTGAATAAATTGACCATTGGTGAATTGGAGACTTTGAATAAATTGATCATTGATGTATTTTTTACTTTGAATAAATTTACCTTTGATGTGTTGGAGACTTTGAATAAATTGACCTTTGATGTGTTGGAGATTTTGAATAAATTGACCATTGGTGAATTGGAGACTTTGAATAAATTGATCATTGATGTATTTTTTTACTTTGAATACATTTACCTTTGATGTGTTGGGGACTTACAGGTAAACCTACGACAGCACTACTCCTTTTGTGGATAGTGTATGTAAAGATACGATGAAACTATCAATCTCCTTCTGTGGATAATTAGAGCAAGTCTACATGTACGACGGTACCTTCTTCGAAATGGGGTTTAACATCACGTCCAAGATTATTGCACTTACATAGCGACGTGCATGCACGTGTGTGTGTGTGGCTGTTTGTACTAGTCCAGACTAGTGCTAGCCCAATGAGAAACTATGCCGCAGTTTAACATGTACACTCAGACAAAGAAAACTGACTCCGAACCGATCAGTCCTTGTTTTAGCCCCTTAATGCCGAGCGCCAGGCAGGGTAACAACAAGTACCATCTTTTAACGTCTTTTGGTATGACGCGGATGGGGATCGAACTCCGGACCTTCCGTTGTCCGGACGGACGATTTACCCCTCGAACTTCAATCACTGTTCTGGGAATAAAGAACATGGTACATGTTGACTACGAATTTATCTCGAGGTGTTTGTAAGTGAAATATATAAAGTTGATATCATAACTCTCATACACAAAACCCTATGGCAACTAAATTCATATTGTTTATTAAGATTCAGGAGGCACAAAGTAAATACATAAAACTGTTGGCTGTAATAAGAAAATATGACACAATATAAATGCCCCAGATACCAAACTAAGGGGGTATTCATTGACATACCTAGAACGGTACCAGACGTTATGAAGAAGTAATCAACAGATCAACTAGACGCCATTGTATCCAAATAAAAAGTACTGGAATATAAAGAAAACCACTTTCTATTGCATAGTCCTTATTCAATATTTCCCATAGTATGGCGACAATCAGTTAATATTTTCGGAAGTATGGGCGGGGTTTTATGGTGGTGGTGTCAGGGATCTTTGTTATGGACAATACATTTTCTATCAATGCTACCCCCACCCCCATGACCAGCCAAAATGTAATATCACATGATCGGTCTCGAAACATTGTAACTGAATACAAAAACCATACAATATAAATTGCAAATATGAAATAAGTAGAATGTTTGACACATAAATATGACATGAATTATTAACAGTTATGTCACTTCTTGTAAAAAAAATATATTTGATTTGTTACCACAGAAAACATTGGGTATTTTACTACCATTGCCACGCAGCAAGGTTGCACAAACAAAATAAACAAATCTCTCTCATCTCAAGTAAGTATAAACATTTGACAAACTTTGCAATAAATAGGCACATACTTAGGCACATGGATTGATTAATTGTTTTAACAATGTCAATTATGCACACACTCCACAGTAAACTGCATAATATCAGACATAATAACAAGAAACAGTAATCAGTTTATCATCAGTAAATTCTTAATGTCTGAGCAAATAATCAATAAAAGTAATACAACTATATCAATATTATATACAAAAAACTTGAAAAAATACAACATCACTATTAAATGCTAAATCGCAGAGCATAATATCAGACACACTAACATGTTTAGAACAGCACTGTAAAATGCTACTTGTCAGATCAAAGGATCAGAACAGGTAATAATGCAATATCACTATTTGATGCATAATATCACAACATGTATACACTATCTCAATAAAAATGTTTCATGTCACAACATATTCTCAGAAACAATTCAGTCCAATACCACGATAAACTGCATAATGTCAAAACAGTGTAACACGTGTATGATACCACTATAAAATGTTTAAATTCATATTTAATGATTAGAAAATGTTCTACGATTATATAGTCTGGTTCAAAATTATTGGGAATTTTAATGTCATATTCAAGGAAGCATGCATTAAATATCAATATTGACAAGTGTTGACAAATGAGGTATGGTCAAAGGGAAGCAACTCTTCTTTAATTGTAGAAGTTGCAAATTAGAGTTATCTCCTTGATTAGGGAGAATACGACTTTTACTGATATATTACAGAAATGAGTGCAGAGGAGAAAAGAAGGTTGATTCTACAGCTCCATGATGAAGGCATCACTGATGCTGCTACATTAGCAAAGAGCACAGATACTCCTCTTTCTACAGTGTATAGAGTTAAGAAGAATATTAAGAATGGTTCAGGAATTGAGCACAGAAAAGGAGCGGGGAGACCTCGAAAACTGGTGTTTGGTGATCGTGTGAGACTCGGTATTTTGGCCTCTAAAAACAGAAGGGCGAGTATCTCAAATATCCAACATGAAATGGTAAATAGAGGGACAGTCAATGTATCCAAATCTACAGTAAGAACATTTGATTGAACTTGGATGGGAAAAAAAGAAAGGAATTGCCTATCCGCTCTTGAAACAAGAACACAAGGATAGACGTGTAGAGTGGTGTTTGGCGCATGAAAACTTTGACTGGAACAGTGTTATTTTCACAGATGAGAGCTCTGTATGGGTGTATCCTAACAATGTTAAAATGTGGACAAAATGTCATTCCGTTCCATTGTACCAGAGACCAAAGTACAGTCCGAAGCTTCATGTTTGGGGAAGGATATCTTCACTTGGAACGACGCCCATTTGTGTTTTTGAGGGTAATTTAACCAGTGAAGGGAAAACAGACATTTTGGAAGCTCACCTGATCCCAAATGCAGATGTTTTTTTATGGAAATACTTGGATTTTGCAACAGGATAATGACCCCAAACACACCGCAAGACATGCGCGGCAGTGGTTTGTGGACAACAATGTGACCGTTTTGGACTGGCCTAGCTACAGCCCGGACTTAAATCCTATAGAAAATGTGTGTGGACTCATGAAGGAGTCGGTGAACCAAAAGCGATTGACAAAAGTTGATGACATGAAGCGCGAGGTGGTGCGATATTGGGACTCTCTCACCCACGAGACTCTAACCTCTCTCATAGGAAGTATGCCCAATCGTATAAAACTGGAAGCAAATGGTGGTCTGATAAAATATTGATGTTACTGTGATGTGATTAAAGAAGGTTTGTGCTCACTTAAAATATGTTTTATTTTTTGGTATGAAATTTTCATATTTACAATTTTAAAGATTTTTCAAGCCCAATAATTATGACTCATACTGTAATATCACTATCAAATGATAAATATCAGAGCATATATCAGAAACATTACATTGAAGACGCCATTATAATAAAATGCTTACAGTCAGAGCAGATTATCAGAAGTAGTAACACGTATATAATACCACTATAAAATTATTCATTTCAAATCTTATGATCAGAAAAAAATGTAAGTATAAAATATCACTATAAAATGCTCAATGCCATACCATAAGTTCAGAAAATATAACATCAGTATAAAATGCAATTCAGGACATAAGACAGAACGTCATAAAAAGACAGTGTATCTATGAAGTGCGTTATGTCAAACGAAAGGATCAGAAACAGTAAGTGCTGTTTTGCTAAAGATCAGCTGCGCCATCAACGTTCCTGCACCTAAAATAGTCAAATGGATACAGTCAACTGAGTGCTGCTGTTCATAATTATAACCACCTGAAGAAGTGATAAGGTTTTAATGACATTTATCATCGCTGTTCTCATTTAAGGCATTTAATAAATCTAATAAAAGGTATCATCATTGCAAGAAACATCAATGGAATCTTCACGTGTTCAACACTCTTCCATGGGTAAGACCTTACATGGTGGTTTGTATGATAAACCAAATAGATTATTGTTAACGTTTAGAGAACGTCGTAGAGAATCGAGAATCGGGGACATTTTTTTCAAAATAACTCTCAGTATGAATTTATGCTCCAAGCTGATATTATAGAGTGAGTATGGTTTTACGCCGCTTTTAGCAATATTCCAGCAATATCACGGCGGGGGACACCAGAAATTGGCTTCACACATTGTACCCATGTCGGGAATCGAACCCGGGTCGTCGGCGTGACGAGCGAACAATTTAACCACTAGGCCATCCGACCGCCCCTGATATAATAGAACCTTATACATGTATATTTTATTGTCAGAAGGTCGCGTCTCTTTAATATTAATTGAACATTTGATTATTCCAGTAGTGAGTGAGTGAGTTTGGTTTAACGACGCTTTTAACAGTATTCCAGTTATATTGCGGCATGTCAGCTTAATGTGGGAGGAAATGTGATGTAGGTCTCAAACGTTTGCCACTTCGGTGAAACCCACGAGCACGGATATGGTGCTGACAAACCTAGAAACATAATCGGGGCGAACCGGGATTCGAACCCACGATCATAGGTTTCTGGCGTGCCCAAGGGACGCAACCCTGCACAGCGAATCGCGGCGCCTTAGACGACTGCGGCACCCGTGCCCCCTGATTATCCCAGTAACTTTATTTAATCGGTGAGTTACAATAACCTGAATTGAAGTTCCTGTCAACAATTATATTCAAATATTTTCGTCTAAAATAGTGACAACGTCCCAACGGTTTGAACAAACTCTGATTTCAGGAACATAAGACAGCAAACATAAAATCAAACTAATAGACTATAGGCAATTGATAGAGATATATTTTCTTTTTTCACACATTCGATCTTGTAAAAGTGTGTTGATAACTGATGCAACGTAGTTAATATTGAACATATTCTGTGTCTTGATAAATGAAAGAAATGTTTACAAGAAAGCAAGTAGTTCTGATGGTAGAAAGTCTCAGGTAATCACACTTAACATAAATTAATATAAAACATATATCGGATCCAAGGGAGATGGAACAAACCTTTTCTGTTTTAAGAATTTCTTTCGTTTGGCTTTCTTCTCTAGTAGGTTCTTGTTTCTTGTCATCTTTGTCTTCTTGAATAAAGCAGATGAAACAGCAATAGCAGCAAAAGACTAACAACGCGACGCCTACTACCGCACCGAGGACGTACAGGAATCTGAAAATTATATTCTGATCATATGAAACCTTTCTTGAATAGTTATTGCAACAACTACCAAACCTTAGGTATCGAGAACAATGGGGAGTCGGACAACTTGGAATGCAGGCGTGACATTTCGTAAGCAAGGTCCGCATATTTGCCATGCTTTTTATTCACATTAGACTCAAAAGGGACAGAGAATGCAATGACATAAATGATTTCATTGGATTTATCAAAAGAGGACAATATCAGGTTTGATGGCCTGGATATGCCTGAGGGTGTATACGGGCCTATTCCAAAGAATTATATAGTTGTCGTTTACAATGATGCCCTCTACAAATTCCAGGTCGTACCATGGATGGACCCCAGAGTAAAAAAAACAAGCATGGCGAAGACGGTAATAAAAGAATCGAGCCATGCCATCATGTCACTTATGATACTGTGTTTGTGTCACTGACAATGTGTTGGACAGTCTCATTTTAATGCAAAATCACACATTAATGGTTTCGGATGGAAAGTGACTGGTCCTGAGCAGCGAACAGAGAGCTTTCAGTTTCACCTTTCATCCAAGGGAAGGGTTGCTGCACTTCTCAACACACTGCATATAAATTCGATGTATTGGTCGTTCAGAGAGCCTTTCCTTGCAAAACCGAGCCTGTGCCGATTTGATGTGGCACTTCGCTTGGTGGACACTCGTCTCTGTCAAGCAGTACAGAAGAATCAACGAAATCAACATTGACCATGACAGAACGTCCTATATCATTGGCTCGTTTAAGACAACTGTGGAATGCCTTGTTTACATTCTGAGGCTTGTAATGCTTCATAAGAGGATGATCAGACAAATAAATGTGTGCAAAAGTTCGCAATAAAAGTCATGAAGAACCTCCAGCGTTAAGCAAACCACGCCCTCCCATGATCATTGCTGAATATAAGCAACTAAGGGCAGAGCGAGGGTGGTGGGGTATATTGTCTGAATGGTTCTTCGTGTAAGGGTGTCGATACCCAGTATATATTATTTCGTCCAATTAAAAACACCACAAGAATATGAAAGGACGGGTAAAGCATAAGTATTTGTGGCTTTCACTTTATTGCGAACGTAAAGTTCTGAACTCCTGATTTTCTTAAGTCTTCATTTGTTTTCTGCCCTAAGTTTTTCCTTTATATGGTCTTTCTTGAGTGTATCCCTATCCTGCATCCAAAGTAGGCCTGGCCTTCCACGAAATGGTATAATAACTCCTCAAAAACTTACTCAAGTAAACTGATCGAGACCTACCTCGTCTACCTTGCCACGTTTCAGATGCATAATGTTGCATTTGTCGAACCGAAAGGACATGCAAATGTCGTTAGAAAAGGTATCTGTTTCTTAGCGTGGATTCTCCTTTGGCGAGAAGTTCAAGGTCATCCATGTAAATAAGGTGAGTAAGAGTTATAATTATTATTATTATTATTATTATTATTATTATTATTATTATTATTTACAGATTTGGTACATCATCAGCTCAAGGTCCTTTCCCCCCTCCAGACGCAGCCCAGACAGCGAATGGAACTTCTCCCAGGAAGCACTGCCTAGTCGAACCCACCGAGAACTTTTCGGAGAATGTTAAGACTCCCCAACACTGCAGCCTTTTCATTACCCAGACTGTCAGAAGGGCTGTATTCCTGGTAGCAAAACCGGGCACTCTCCCAATGTCAGTCAACAGATTGGGAGGTACCAAACCTAAGGCACCCAGAATAATGGGGAGTCGGACAACTTGGGATGCAAGCCTGACATTTCGAAAGCGAGATCTGCATAGTTGCCATGTTTTTCCTGTATCTTGTCACTCGCATTAGTGTCAAAAGGGACAGAAAATTCAATACTATAAATGATTTCAATTGATTTATCAAAAAGGACAGGGTCAGGTTTCTTGGCCTGGATACGTCTGAGACTGTATACGGGCCTGTTCCAAAGAATTTTGTATTGATAATTTTTCATGACCCCCCCTACATATTCTGGGTCGTGCCATGGATGGACTCTGTATCCAGACCACACGCATGGCGAAGATGAAAATAAAATGATTGAGCGACACTATCGTGTCGACAGGCTATGTAGCTAACGTGGAACATGCTCTGTGAATTGCAGCGCCAGGATGACTCATACGTACCTCCTCATAGCGATGCCCCCACATGATTTACTGATAAAACAATGTTTATGAGTCGCCGCCGCCGTAAACAAGCAACCAATGTAATTTAAGTCCGCATATGGATTCCATGTTTGAGTGGGTACCTAACATTCTCTGCTTGTCGTCAGGGGCGAATAAGTGGATTGGGTGTTCAGGCTCGGCGACGTGGCTGATGACGTTTGATGTCTTGACTCGATTATTTTGAGGCAGTCATTCTATTTCTGGACTATTGCTAAGTGTAGCTTAAACAACAAACACATAAACTCCCCACAACTTAACATTTTTAGTTTCACAAACTTACTTATCACTTAATCATATTAAGTTAAATTTTCTTTAAATTTATTTTTCTATTCCGCAATGTACGGGATATAGCCTGTTCAATCGAATCGATATTCAGAATATATCGAAAATCGGAATGAATTATTTTATACAATTTAAACATACAAATATTTGTGTTGTCTAATTCATACATATTTTAGAAGTTGAACACTGAATTACGTATATCATAATTCCTCCTCCATGACTACACCTTTCTTCATGGGTTTCACTGAAGTGAAAGTCTACAACATGCATTCCTTTGCGTTTTCCTTCCATAAAACTCCGCAATACTCACTAGACGTAACACAGATATTGATACTCACATCCATAATGCATCAAGTCCGCCGCCCCCGCCCCCGCTGAAACTTCCGCTTCCGCCGCGATAGGACACGCGACTACTCCGATAACGGCTTCCACCTCTCCGCTTGCTTGCGCGAGGAGTGTACCTTGCCTTTGTCTCAGAGGTGTTGTCGTCGTCATCATCATCGTAGATAACTGCAAGAATGTGAAGCCAAAAGACACGAATTAAATTCCAAACAAAAATACCATTTTCAAATTTTTGGTTATACCTAATTAAGACAACATACGCTATGTATCATACCACACAGTCCAAAGCAATCCAAAGAAAACAAAGGCAATTCTTAGAATTGATGTTTTTCAACTCTTGGAAATGTGAGGAAACACCACAAAGAAAATTTGAAATGAATGTTTAAATCAGTCTGGGAACATGTGTGGCCCAACCGTCAAATGTGTTCTGTCGTCCCTACAAGAGTTAAGTCTTGATAATCTACTCATTTACAAGTATTTTATATACTCCTGTAAACTGACCATTCTCTCAAGAGTACTATAATTCCATTCTCAAGAGTACTATTTCCATTCTATCATTTGCCACCCTACTCTCTTTTAGAATCACACAAAAGAATTGTTTTCCCAAGTTATCGATAAGCGAGACAAAGCTTCCTAGACGAAGTCATGGTAATGAATGGTTCCAGGTTATTTAGCATTTATATGATAGAATGAAGATTCAATACACTGGGCAATCGAGGATGCATCCCACTTGTTAAGAAGTTTTTAGGTGAATTAGAGTGGGGCCACAAAAATTGAGGAATGTCGATCCCAATATATCCTGAAAAGAAGTTACATCATCCGTTTTGGGTCTAAAACACGATATTTCACCATTATTCATGACTTCAAGGTGACGTGGATACATTTCAACATGTCATCCTCCATCAATCAGTGTATCTGTGACTAGTTTAACCTTACCTCTAACACTGCAAGAGTGAGTGAGTGAGTAAGTTTGGTTTAACGCCGCTTTTAACAGTATTCAGGTTATATCACGGCGTGTCAGCTTAATGTGGGTGGAAAGCCCGAAGTGATGCAGGTCTCAGACGTTTACCACTTCGGTGAAACCCACGAGCACGGGTATGGTGCTGACAAACCTAGAAACATAATCGGGGCGAACCAGGATTCGAACCCACAATCATAGGTTTCTGGCGTGCCCAAGGGACGCAACTCTGCACAGCGAATCGCGGCGCCTTAGACGACCCCCACACTGGGTGTCATGCTTTCTTATCAACAAGGGGGAAGTATAATATGTTGATCTTATCCTGTTTATAGGTATATGCAGTGAATGCATCCCCTTAATAGATGTGTGCATACAGAGTTTTTTGTGTGTAATTCCTTTCCATGTATATCAAGTGTGCAGTTCACCCTTGTCAGTACACCCTTGACAGTACACCCTTGTCAGTACACCCTTGACAGTACACCCTTGACAGTACACCCTTGCATTTGAACCAATTGGACAACCAGGCAGCATGTGTCTGCAGTTATCAAAGTGACAAGGTGCATCTCTGTTAATCAAATATGTCTAACAGAAAGGGCAAACTCCAACAGCCATCAATGCAACATGTCAACGCCGCACTCAGCAATATTCCAGCTATACGACCGCGGTCTGGACCAGACAATCCAGTGATTGACATCATGAGCATCGACCCACGCAGTTGGGATACGATGACATTCGTCAACCAAGTAAGCGAGCCTGACCACTCGATCCCGTCAGTCGCCTCTTACAACAAGCACAGTCGCCTTTTACGGCAAGCATGGGTTGCTGAAGACCTATTCTACCCCGGATCCTCACGGGTCTCACATTCATGATATAGTGTACGATAATAAAACATAGCTATAATGTAATCCATACATCTTTGTAGACTGTGAGGGCGGTCGGGTAGCCTAGTGGTTAAAGCGTTCGCTCGTCACGGCGAAGACCCGGGTTCGATTCCAGACATGAGTACAATGTGTGAAGCCCATTTCTGGTGTCCCCCGCCGTGATATTGCTGGAATATTGCTAAAAGCGGCGTAAAACCATACTTACTCACTCACTCACTCATTGTAGACTGTGTGCTGAATTAAGTTGTCTAAACATATCATACAAACTATCTACCAGCTGCTGCTGAATATCACTACAGTGTATATTTAAATTAAGTTTGAAGAAATACAATGATGCTGAAATAAGTCATACCCGTGGAGACTGAAGCATGTCATTGATCCGAATTGTGTGGATGGATGCTCATGATATCAATCACTGGCTTGTCTGGTCCAGACTCGATTATTTCCAGACCGCCGTCATATAGCTGGAATATTGCTGAGTGCGGTATCAAACAACAAACCAACCAACCAAAATCGTCATAAATCTGCCAGTCAATGAGATGGGACTTGCAGGTCTTGTATATCGTCATGTTTCAATAGCTAATGAGAGTGAACCACACCTTAACTTGGGTAATGTCTTGTACCCTGGCAAAAAGCATTTAAGGAAATACCCTGGAACTCAGTCTTGTTTAACGATCCTAAAAGTTCCTTCTGCATTACCATGTATCCAAAGTTATTGAAACCACAGCTGATCATCAACAATAGCACATTTCTGCTTTGTCAATCCAGAGCACAAAAGTGTCCGTAAAATCTACATCGCTATTGAGTTTTGATGCAAGGGAGATCACCGTGATGCCCATGCCTTTTTTTTTTATTTCCTCCAGAAGTTATTCCGAAGATTATACATAATTAATCAAACGTATTCACACAAACTCATATTACCTGTACATATATACAATACAAGACAGTAGCACCGGTGTTATGCCATTCACACAGTACAAAAGGTTAGATGAGATGACATAATCAAGGTAAGGCTTTAGTGTAAGTACAAAAGCAGAAAATATCAGTATAACAGTATCCCATGGAACTTTATCAATACATTGTGAGAAGTGAGTATCAGCACCAAAGAAAGATGACAACATATCTTCTTCATGTTCATCTTGTAATTCCAACTGGACATAGGTTTCAACATCAAGCAGATCAATAAAAGTTAAAAACAGTTCATTTCTTTCCTGCAGTAGAGCTTCAAAATGTAATATGATGTGATTATCATAATCAAAGGCATGCTTGTTACACAATAAACAGTCCCTGGAAGTTTTGTTTCGTGATGAAACTCGGACACAAAATTTTAAACTTGACCTCTGTTCTGGGTACAGATATGCTAGTTGCCATAATATATGGTGAGTAAGCTTTGTGTGTATAAACATGAAGCGTGAAAGACCTGTATTGACAAAAACTTTTCTGCGCCACATATTTTCTTCATATTCATGAATGGTTTTATTAACCAGTTGCTTCCGGTTTCTCTTTGTAGGAAATACACCACATCTTACATATGTACAAAGGTTGTTTCGTAGGTTATACTTGTTAAGAACTGATAATAAATCTCCACATACAGATTTAGCATTAGTTGGATTTTCAATGCACATCTGGTAGCGATTTAGATGTAAACCAGAAACATCCAGAAAACATTCTGCAATCTCTATGACATTTGTACCCCACATAGCTGACTCACATGGAAACATGGGCTGAACTAACGATTCATAAAGTCTTGTAAATACACCATACTCCCTGCATCTATACTTATTCTCAGGGCCTTAGACAAAGTTGTTTTCTTCACTGTTAGCTGCATATGTAAATGTTCATTGATAATCTTCGGTATTTGTATTTGTATTTATCGACAAGGTGGCTATCAGGCATTCCACAATAAAGATGTTTAGATGAATGTCGGACTACTTTATTCTGAAATATCGATTTCTCTGTATTAAGCTAGAACACGATTTATGTCCTCTATTGAACATCTGTGGATATGTGACTTCACATCGTCCTGAAAGAAAAATATCCTTTGACTTCAGTTCTCACATCACGCAGTGTCAAATGAATAAACCAACAGACATATACAGTTTTTCATAATCATATTTACACTGTAATGGTACTTCATGGGCATCAGTTTTAATCTTACCATTGTTATATACTTAGTCCTATCATTTCCAATCACAAGCTTCCCCATTTCTCTCCACAAACCACAGTCAGCAAATTACCTAATTCCAGTTGTTATGTAGACATTCATTGCAGTAGGGTTTTGTATGACATAAATGCCGTATATTATTATGGTTGAGTGTACGTTTCCTGGCAACGTATTGATCTGGAAAAAAATTATATGCTGTGTCGATATCCTTTGCAGCATTCAGGCCTTGCTGATTCCTTGAAATTGTTGGCGCTTCAGTGAGACAGTGTTTCAGTGTTACAGACACACTGGCAGCCACTTGGAAAACAGTCCTGTTTGAATCCCGAGTGAGTTTACACATTTTTCATTGTTCATATTTACAAAACCACATTAGGTCAATTGCACCAGTAAGAGGGAATTTCCACGGACTGAATTTGGACCACCAATGTTATTCCTGCAGTCACAACTAATCGATAATAGCATTACCCCGGAGGAATCATTATGAAATATTTATTGTCTGTATCTTAGTATAACATGTGCCATGATTCAACACAACACACAAGCATACGTAAATAATGTCCCCTGACATCCATTGATATTCATCACATTCACCGTAATATCTAACATAAGGCTTGAACATCCAGCATGACCATGGAAGCTCAGCAAGGCTTTTACACTGTATATCTGTCTCACTTCAGGTACGTGTCTCCTATATCAAAGAATCGATATTCGGGCGATTAAAACACATACAGTAATGGTAACGCAATAGACCTTTTCAAATAGTGCAGGGTTACATGCTGTGGGGGTTACAAGGTCGTCTGTACTGTTATGAACGCTGGTTGAAACCGGCATGTAACCTGTTGACAGAACAATGTCTACGTCTGCATACAGTAACTTGTTGTAGTATCTAGTTGTGTTATATAAAACATCCTACCTGTTGCTACGAGAACGATGAGCGCCAAACACAAACAGCAGTGATGTAACCAATGCTGCATAGTGGAGAGTGAATGCTCTGGCATGTACATGCGCTAGATGGCCTTTCCCACAAATTGATTTTGCAGAGCACAGATGTATCTCGCGACTCTTGTCAATGTTTGTTCGTTGGCTGGTTTGTTGTTTAACGCCGCACTCAGCAATATTCCAGCTATCGCTTGTCAATGAGTGGGATTGGGAGACGATACATTAAACGATCGCTTCACTTTGGTGCAGGTCACGCCGATCTTGGTGGAGAAACGTGCTTGGACTTGTAACCAGCAGACGTATTTCAAGATTAACATCGCGTTTTTTATTAGTTTCAACAGAATCAGTAGATGCACTTTCGTCTCACTGGATGTTCTGGTACACTGATCACTTGATCGTCTGGTTTGTTGACAGGCCGACGTCGCACGGCAAGAGTACTGATGTGCAGCGTCAGGCTATAAAAACTTACTTTTTTATGCAAATTGTATGAAAAGCGGGTCCTACCGGTATGGCAGGACACGCTTACCCTCTTCGCGAACACCTGGTGTCATCACTAATTTTCAGTGGTCCATTCATAAATTGCGATGCAGAAGTCTGACAGTATATTCTAAAAAATCGAATTTCTTCATTTTCGGGGGGGGGGGGGGGGGGGGGGGGCACGGCTGGTCCCAATTTGCTGTGCAGAGTTGTGGTTGTGTCCCTTGGGCATGCCAGAAACCTATGATTGTGGGTTCGAATCCCGGTTCGCCCCGATTATGTTTCTAGGTTAGTCAGCACCATGCCCGTTGTTGTGGTTTTCATCGAGGTGGTAAACTTCTGAGACCTGCATCACTTCGGGCTTTCCTCCCACATTAAGCTGACACGCCGTGATATAACTGGAATAATGTTAAAAGCGGCGTTAAACTCAACTCACTCACTCACTCGTTATTTTCAGAACTTCACTTTCGATGCAGGTTTAGTTATTATTAGAAGCACTATGTGACGGGGCACTAGTCGAAACTCCTGGCGGCAGTAACGCAAGCGCCGAAAAAACGCCAGTTGACCATTGCACAACCATCAGAGCTGACCAGATATCCTGCACTCAATGTGAATAGTGTATTCTCTTCCAGCCTTGCCTTCTGAATCTCAAATGATGTCTGCACAAAGCTGGGTTTGCCTGACGGTGAAGTGCAAACAAAATTCGCTGAACGCTAGGGTCGGATGTTGTAGTGTGTTCCTTGTGCAAGTTGGCATCGGCCCGATACCACGAAAATCATAATAGACGAGGTTCGGACCGATACCACGAAAATCATAATAGACGAGGTTCGGACCGATACCACGAAAATCATAATAGACGAGGTTCGGACCGATACCACGAAAATCATAATAGACGAGGTTCGACCCGATACCACGAAAATCATAATAGACGAGGTTCGGACCGATACCACGAAAATCATAATAGACGAGGTTCGACCCGATACCACGAAAATCATAATAGACGAGGTTCGGACCGATACCACGAAAATCATAATAGACGAGGTTCGGACCGATCGCGCGAAGGTAGTCAGAGAACTGTGAATTGTAAAAAGAGAGAAGTAATTAAAAGGTAACAGGATAAGTAAGAAATAGTTCCAGGTAATATATTTAAGTAAGTGTTGGTTCATTGGTTGTATTTTCATTATACATATGACTATTGATTAAACGTCCGTCAGGTCATTTATTAATTAACAATAGATTCCGTTAGTTAGACTCTACATAACAGATCTTAGACCCAAATTAATTGCACAAAGAATTGCGTCTCCTTGCATAATTAATGTCTACCGCCGTGTGAAGAAGGAAGGACTTGCAGCCGACTACTCTAACGACCCTGATACAAAGAAGATAATGCGAAGAGTTGCGGCACTACCATTCGTGCCTCTAGACAAGGTGGATGAAGTATGGGCTGATTCTGTCGCCTACAGTCCTTACGATCGGAAGGTTATCAACATCATGAACTATGTGACAACGACATGGATCTAAGGGCCGTGAACCAAAGACCACTGGAACCATTTTGGAACCTCTTGCCACCGAACCAACAGTAACATCACCATATGAATAGATCTGCCCAGAAAACACATTTAAACATATATGACGTTGTGTGCCTTCTGAGCCGAGGGACCCGTGAAGATCCGGGGTAGAATAGGTCTCCAGCAACCCATGCTTGCACTAAAAGGCGACTATGCTGGTCGTAAGAGGCGACTAACGGGATCGAGTGGTCAGGCTCGCTGACTTGGTTTATGCATGTCATCGATCCCAACTGCGTTGATCGATGCTCATGATATTAATCACTGGATTGTCTGGTCCGAACTCGATAATTTACAGACCGCCGTCATACAGCTGGAATATTGCTGAGTGCGACGTTAAACAACAAACCAACCAACCAATCTGAGCAGAGAGAACAGTCTCTGACTGAGGTATTGATGTAGCAGTTTGAAACCCACCACGAGCTCAATCCCGCTAGAGAAGATATAGAGTCATTGAGTTCAAACTGTGTGCCTTAAAGAACAAACTCATCAACCAGATCCTCACTGATATTCAAGATGTAGATCACGTAGCTGATCTTCACTTGACCTGGTGTGATTTTGTTGTAATCTACCGTAATGTACTTTAATATACTCTGTAATATTTGTTACGAAAATAGTAAATCTAAAGCCCATTACTACGTTCATATAAGTTGTACTTTGACTATGACATTGTAATGGCATAGTTGTAATTAACAATTGCAGAGGAAATCCGTAATTTTCCATGGATTGGCCTTGAACTAACCGGTCACGTACGGTTTTGGTCCTAACCCCGGAATTGTCTGAGCTGTTAATGTGGCAGTAGAAACACCAACCGAATATGGTCGTCTTGTTTGACGTGACGTCATACGTGGATGACCGGTCCGTGGTAAGTCATCTGTGTTGCCCAGCTGTATCCTAACCTACTAGTTTTAAAAATAAATCTGTGATGTATCTAGTTATTTTACTGTCCTTTATTGATAGTTGTTTTTTTTACTGTATTTATGTAGAACATTTATAGTCACGATATGGCTGAAATACTTCCGATGTGTCTTTAAATATGGCTGCAGTCGGGTCTAAATAATCGGGTCTGGGCCAGACAATCCAGGGATTGACACAATCGGAATCGATCTACGCAATTGGGTTACGATGACATGCTCCACCAAGTCAGCGAGCCTGACCACCCGATCCCGTTAGTAGCCTCTTATCACTGATCTTCACAGGTATTTTCATAATGAAAAAGATTACCTTTGAAGTATACTTGTAGGTCTGTACTTTGCACTGAGGGGAGGCACGGAGCACTGGTCTTAAAGGTTGTTCAAGAACCCGCAAATAACGGTACCACATAAGGACAAGGACAGGCAAAGGCACCTGCTATACACGGAAGATGTATCTCAAACCATCCCTGGTGGACTTAAGAATCGGAAACAAACCCCCAAGAAAGTGGGTGCCTACGAAACTGCGAAAATCCCGACATCTGATACGTACGACTATTCGAGAAGTACAAGACCCTGTGGTTAATATTGTATGTAAAAAAACATATTAATACCGTTGATTTACGAGCCACAGCGAAAATGGACGATGATATTGGTTTTAAATACTTCGTTTAAAGAGGATGATTTTTTTTGTATTCATGTTATACTATGTTTAGGACACGAGTGCCTTAATTCTTGGATTTCCTGAGTATAATTTTCGATTTATTTCCGTAATCTTTTAGGAATTGGTGCTTGTCTATTTTGACATATAGATCGCCACGTGATCAGTGTAATACCCCCATTCCACAAGGCGACGCACTTCTGTGCTCTGTGCGCTCTGAGGGAGCGCCATCCAATAGCGATCTATGTCATCCGATAGCGACTTAATGACCCGTGATCGTAACCAAACAACCCAAAATGTGGCGACCTGCACGATCAGTTCCCGGTCCTTTTGCGATCAGGATGCGAGCCAATGGCGCTCAATCTGCGCTCCGATGGCGATCATGGCGATCATTGCGATCTAATGCGCTCCACTCTGATCCGATAGCAATCTAGGCGACCTATTGAGATCCATTAACACTCTCCGATGGCGATCATGGCGATCATTGCGATCTAATGCGCTCCACTCTGATCCGATAGCAATCTAGGCGACCTATTGAGATCCATTAACACTCAATTAGCGCTCTATGGGATACTATTGCGACCTAATCGCCGAATTTTGGGTCCGATCCTATAAAAACTCGTAGCGTTCTGAGGCGGTCATTCAGTCCAACGCTTGGTAGTACAGAGGGGTAGGTCCTAGTAAATCATGAACGTGTCATGAGCGCTTAGAAGATAGATGGCTCCATCAACCCTTCCTCATCCAGACAGTCTGCCGAATGATGACAGAGACGTCCCATTATCATCCTTGCTGATGACGCCTTCGCCCTCAGGACGTACCTCATGAAGCCTTACTCCCACATAGGTATGACGAGGTCCCAGCAGATTGCCAACTACAGAATCTCCAAAGGCGGGCGGGCGGAGGAGAATATATCCTGCTCTGCAGAACGCGGACCTGAGGATGTGCAGCAAAACATGATACCTGGTGAGTGGAGGCAGCACGCCAACATGCAAGAGGTGTACCAGAAAGTGGGGCCCAAAAGGGACACTATCGAGGCCAAACAGATGCGAGAGTACCTCAGACTGTACTTCAACAGTGAAGCTGGCTCGGTACAACGGCCGGATAGGGTGGTGGCACCTGAGCAGCATTTCCAGTAGTGCAATAATTGACTGTGTGATAGCGAGAGACATTAATGTGACCTGAGACATTAATGCATTTCTAACATTATTTGTTTGTTTGTTCGTTGTTTAACGCTGCACTCGGCGAAATATTCCAGCTATATGACGGCGGTCTGTAAATAATCGAGTCTGGACCAGACAACCCAGTGATTGACATCATGTGCATCGATCCACGCAATTGGGATACCATGACATGCATCAACCAAGTCAGCGAGCTTGACCAACCGATCCCGTCCCGTTGACCACTTTTCTCCCGGAAAAGACGGCTGAAGCGGGTCCTGAGGTAACGGTACTGGAGCTTCATGGCTTCTCAGGAGACCCCCATCTTCCCAGTTTGCTGTCGCCACACTTTCGACCGGTGTCCTTCCATCCTTCCTTGTCCTCATCATACAGCACCGGGGTTTCCTGAATTAATTCTGGCAGCTCCTGTTCCTGCCCTGCTGTTAGGTTGATCCTAACACCTTTGCTCTTCTTGCTGGCTTGGGGTGGACTCTCCACATCATGAGACTCTTCCTTTGCTGTCTCTTCACCACCATGCTGGGATGTCTCCTCTTGACTGCCTGGACTGGGGTCTCTGGCCACTGCTACAGTCATTCGGCCCCCACGTCTTGTGGTCTCCCCCTTAGCACCTCGTTTACTATTGCCCTTGTGCAACTTGATACAACAATTCAAAATACTACTTAAAAATGCAGAGGATGACAATCACTCACCAGTCTCTAACAGTGAAATGATGATCGCCAAAGGCAGCGGCGCTTTTTATAGGCCTCCGGGAGAGCCATCGGAGCACCATCAGATCGAAACAGGGCGTGAACGGATCTCACTGGAGCGCCATCGAAGCGCCACAAGGTGGCAACCAAAATCGCTAACCAATCTGTGAAGCGCCATCCGAGATCGCCATCCGAGATCGCCGAGGTGCACCGAGAAGCATGTTTGATCGGAAGGCGCTCTGAGGTGATACGATAGCGCTCTGATGGCGATCAAGTAGCGATCTGACGACATTCTAGGCGGAGTGCCACGGATCTTTGTGCAGGGGAGTCAACAGGCGGCGACCGTGACGATCATGGAGATCAGTTATTATTGGTTTATATCTGTTATGAAATATTATTTATGTTCTCATGATACAGATGCAGATAACACGGGCGGGAGCTGGACTTCTTTCATTTCAACTCCCCCAGCCATGACGAAAGATGGAAAATGGCTCCTTCAGACACCTGTATGGCGTAACACGCTACAAGCCAGAGTCAAACGACTCTGCAAAGGAGCTGTTTTGGACGGCACCAAGACAAACCACTCTCTTAGCGCCACGGCTTCTATAAGGCTTTACAAGCCAACTTTAGAATATTGCTGAGTGCGGCGTCAAACAAGTGATATAACAAACATCAAGCCAACGAAAATGACTAGATATGTGAGATGAACGTAAAGTAGGTCTAAAAAATACAAAAAACGTTTTTGTAAACCAAAGCGCCTAAATGTTGTGCCATGAACAAGTCATATTTTTGCCCATGTAATGTAACTTTTATTACACTATTTTTATAATTCGATTAAATTATCTGTTTACGAACATTCGTTTTCAATGCAGGTCATGAGAGCGATGCCCTAAGGAACTACACGCGTACATCAGATGTTCAGAAGGCGTACCTGTCTGACAGGCACTCCAAAGCAAATGAAGTCTGAGACAGTAACAGCATGCGGGGAGACAACCGGAATGATGTTAACGAGAGAATCATTACCACAGATGAAATGTGTTTAACATAACAGACTCCCAACATGTCATCAACTTTTGTTTTCAAATCAAATAATATAATTATGAAACGCGTTGTTTCTAGTTTAACTGATTGAATGTCCATCATCCCAGGTACCGCCTGCGTGGTCTAGAGGTAGAGCGTCCGCCCGGATAGCTGAAGGTTCGAGGTTCGATCCCCGGCCGCGTCATACCAAAAGACGTTAAAAGATGGTACTTGTTGTTACCCTGTCTGGAGCTCAGGATTAAGGGGGTAAAACAAGGACTCGGAGTCAGTATACTGTGTCTGAGTGGGGTATTTATGTTAAACTGCGGCATGGTTTCTCAGTGTGCTAGCACTATAAATCGGCATCAGTCCGGACTAGTACAAGCAGCCACACACGTGCATGCACTTCGCTATATAAGTGCAATATACTTGGACGCGACGTTGAACCCAATTTCACCTCACCTCACCTTCATCCCAGGGACAATCAACAACAAGTCCCTGGATGATTGTATAAAATCTACTTTGGAGATTAGGTTATCTAAAAAGGACCTCTAATAACTACAGGTTGACGTCACTTGAGGTTTATATGCAAAGTTAAATGCTTTGTCCTTGCTGAACGTACATGATTAGAGTCAGTGCCTGAAGTTCAAAACAAATAACATGATGCAATATATGGGATCGATATCAATGGGCATCAAGGAGCATCATTTATTTATTAATGTGTGTTGAGTTGTAGCGTGGTGCATTATAACAATCTCTTTCAGCCTACAGATAGACAACAATTATTTCCTAATACATCCTCGAGACTTACTCTATTGTCGACTTGTATTACTGGTGGACTGCTTTGTTGATGCTGTGAAATAAGTCGATATCAGGCCGAACAACTATCAAAGACACTAATGCAAGTGGGAAAAGCCAGCAATTCAAAAGTTAAAGTCAAAATACGGTCAGGGATGCAGTCAAAACTTTCCATTACAGAAGGTGGCATATAAGACCAATATGGGCTTTTAATGTATGTCATCTCAGAACCCAGTGGCAACCCCTGGACAAAATCAAACGGGCCCCAAAGGGCTACTCACTTAGAACCCATTTCCCAGCCCGTATAAACGCCAAGTGGGTTCAGACTATGTTTGCCGGCTGGGCAGCTACACAGAAGATTCATACCATCTTTGAGTCGAACAATATAGGTATGCACAGGAACAAAATGAATGCACTTCACTGTATTTTGAAAATTTTACAAATGAGATGATATCATAGGAATTTATCAATATAAATTGGCCAAAATAATGTTTAATAGACACCTCGTTCTTCACTCTAATAATATATACATGATATTCAGCAGTACAATGTATTTTGTTAAATTTAGTTCCTTCAAAAAACAGCATTCGTGCATTTTACACCTCTTTGTTCTCTATATGAGATCATAAGCTAATCCAAGAAACCAAGGATATAAAGTGTTGCCCCTACTGTCGTGAGTAAACGTCCCTGCATCAATTACCCAAGTAAGTTTGTGGACAATCAATCAATCAATCAATCAATCAATCCATAGCTGAGACCTGTTAGTGCAGGCAACATTGGAAATATGAATTGCGAACATATTTACGAAGACGATCGGGGTATCAGTTACCATGTCTGTGCTTGTAGACCTCAGCGACGTGGGTATTTTCCCGTATACAATTGCAAAGTTTACTTCACGTCGTTGGCGGCTGAAATACTTAGAAATCGTTACTGATGAGGACTTTCGTGCACAACCCTTACCTAATTAAGTCCGAAGTGGCGGAAGGTGTCCGATAAACTGCAGCCATACTTTTCTGTGTGCTTACTAACTTATATTTGAGAAAGGGGAAACGGAAGTGGTGGTGCAAACCCAGGAGGAGGTTTAAGGGTTGCTTATATAGTAATTTTGAGATTTTGAGATTTCGAATGAATGCCAAGAGTGGGTAGGGGGCGAACTAAGGGAGCTGTGTGTGGTGGGTGGTTTGTTAGTTTATGGGATTTTGGTTTTATTAGTTTATTTGGGGTTTAAATGCGACTAATTAGTCCTGTTTTAATTAAGTATATGCCTAAGGCTTTGAATTTTTCTAATTTATTTTAGGATTGATTCTAGGGTAAGTGCAGTATTAAGATTTAGGGTGGTTTGTAGTGTTGTTCAGTTTGTTTGGTAGTGTGTGCAGTGGATAAGTACATGAGCAGGTTCCTGTTGCGTGTAGTTTAGCTATTTTAAGGTTGTTATTTAGTTTGGTTTGGTCTGTTTATAGTTTAGTGATTATTCTATCGGGGTTTTTTAAGAACTTTTCTGATTTGGCTATTTGAGTTTAGGTATATATTTTGCCATTTTTTGGTGATTTTTTTATAAAGGTAGGTTTAAGCTTATTTCTGGGAGTTTCAGGGATAATTGGCTGCGTTATCGGCGTTTTCATTGCCAAAGATTACTACGTGGGCGGGGATCCAAATGATTTCAATTTGTTTGCCTGCCATAGTTAAGTGGTTTGAGCTTTTGAGTATTTGTTTTTTTGTGTTTTTATTTTTGAGGGCTTGCAGTTTCTGTGTGCCATTGTGCCAGTGTTTGAGACATCTGACTACGTAACGAAATAACAATGTATTGACCAGGCAGACTCTAAACAAACAAACAAACAAACAAACAAAGTGATGCCTCACTTCTGGGCTCCGATTAACCCGATAAGACACTGGGACGGATGATCGCGGGAACAAGCGAAGACGCCCCATGGACCAGAGTAACTTCACTTTCATATAGGGCAATAACTCCAGCCGGCGCTCTGATTGATGCAGTAGAAGGGGATCACTGACACCAAGTATGAGCAATTGTCTTTCTACCAACACGGTAGTTACGCCATTGCCTAAAAGCAAGTTTCAGTTGGAACTATATTGTCTCTTTTCACTGTCCGACTGGCTAAGCACTGACCTTATGATGCAATATATTAATCGCACATTCCAGGAAAACTGGCAATGAGAAATTCTTTTTGGCCAAAACATTTGAAGAATAACATGATAAAATGAAGAGGTTATAACGCCTGTGTGTTTGGGGGTTATACATATCCTTTATCAGGAATGAACACAGTATATGTACTCACCAAGGCTCGCTTTGTGCAATGTTTATTCATAACACATGATACTTACACCATCCGAAAGTGAGTGAGTGAGTTTGGTTTAACGCCGCTTTTAACAGTATTCCAGTTATATCATGGCGTGTCAGCTTAATGTGGGAGGAAAGCCCGAAGTGATGCAGGTCTCAGACGTTTACCACTTCGGTGAAACCAAAGAGCACGGGTATGGTGCTGACAAACCTATTAACATAATCGGGGCAAACCGGGATTCGAACCCAAAATCATAGGTTTCTGGCGTGCTCAAGGGACGCAACTCTGCACAGCGACTCGGGGAGCCTTAGACGAATGGGCCACCCGACGAAACCCTTGACTAGTTGCTTCACCTGGCCCACTCTAAACCTAAAGTAGGACCCATGCGTACATGCTCGACTATTTTTCGCACAGTCACGGGCAGCACCCGTATAGTATCCCGTGCGATAAAACAAAAAATACACAGCATGTTCATATAAAAGCCTCTAATACGGTAGCCTAATACTTACAAAACAGATATATGAGCCTGTGTAAATATTAGTGAATGCAAAGCACGTATATTCAACAAGGCCAGTGTGACCCATATCTATGTGAAGCTATTGTTGTGTTGATCACCAACCCAACACACACAGTTACGCAATACACGGTTGTACCTGATCAATACATATTGCACAGAGCGTACCACGCCTTAAATTGACCCCATCGTCCCAACATGAAACACGGGATACTGCACACCTTGCCAATAGGCTTGGTATTCATCCATCTCGGATCTGCAGGTAGGATGTTTCATATATTTCGATACAGAAATATACTGCATGTTTGAGGTGAGGTGAGGTGAAATAGGGTTTAACGTCGCGTCCAAGATTGTTGCACTTATATAGCGACGTGCATGCACGTGTGTGTGTGTGTGTGTGTGTGTGTGTTAAACACGTAGCAGCAGAAAAAATTAATCAACTGATTTTGATTGAAGCAGGTTCTCCGATTTCGAATCGATGAAACAGGAATAAGTCGTTGTTTTCCGTTAGGTACCCCGTACTGGATTTGATAAGACGCAAATCAGATTATAACAGGCGTTTAATCGCCCTCGTCTCGCTCTTATAAAGGTACAACCGAACTTCTAGACATTCCTCCAACAATGTTGTCCATACCATTGTCGATACACAAAACGGATAACCTTGAAGTACTCTGGTTTATGCACACCGCCTGTAAATAATCAAGAAACAACGGCACTCGACATTTACAAGACGCTTTTCAGGAGTATACACATATTTCAAAAAAGTTAATAGATTATCTCAGACCCTACTGTTATATACACCGTTACTGATGTAGACTATAAAAGGTCTTCGAGTGCTAACCCCATTGTAACACGTGACCCGTGAGGATTCGGGGTAGAATAGGTCTTCAGCCACCCATGCTTGTCGTAAGAGGCGACTATAGTGGCCGAGTGGTCAGGTTCGCTGACTTGGTTGATGCATGTCATCGTATCCCAATTGCGTGGATCGATGCGAATGATCCAGACACGATTATTTATATTTATTCATATAGCGGGAATATCTCCCCACAAAATTTTAAATCATTAACTTGTGAAATACATGACTTCTGTGTAGATTAGTTGAATGTTGGTTCAAGATGAATAATTGACCATCACCTGGTTAAAAGAGACCTTCATCATATTCAGATATTCATGAATGCATTAACATTTCGAGTGACAAAAACTCTCCACAAGTCTGTTTGATAGGAGGAATGACTTCAACTTTATAGTGGTCAACTTTCCTTTCATGTCCTGCAATATTCCAGAATCTCCATCTGTTGGTGTCTACACTTTTGAGGTACAATCGGGTGGTCCAGTCGTCTAAGGCGGCGCTTTTAACAGTATTCCAGTTATATAACGGCGTGTCAGCTGAATGTGGGAGGAAAGCCCGAAGTGATGCAGGTCTCGGACGTTTACCACTTCGGTGAAACCCACGAGCTCGGGTATATGTTGCTGACAAACCTAGAAACATAATCGGGGCGAACCAGGATTCGAACCCACAATCATAGGTTTCTGGCGTGCCCAAGGGACGCAACTCTGCACAGCGAATCGCGGCGCCTCAGACGACTAGGCCACCCGTGCCCCCGAGTTTTTTATAAAAAACAAAACAAAAAAAACTGTAGTTCCTTTCAAGTACCATTTTATTAACGTGTTTCTCTGTAATAAACTTTTTCCAAGTGTTAACTTACATCTACCTCCAATATTTTAACGTGTTATACCAGAATTAACGTCTTTTTAAATAGTTAAAGATCCTGGGATTCCAACCCGGGATTCACAATTAAACCTCTGACGCCAGTCCGACAGAAGGAAAGGTTTTTTGAAGACATACTTATGAACTGTTGGAAACTATTACTCTTATTATGTTAAACCTATCTTAAACTGAAATATGCATCTGATTTACTTCCCAAAGTACTAAATGACTTCTCTATATACTGAATAGCTGAACGTTCATCGTTACCACGAGTACAGGTTACACTTATTGACTGCTTTTGTATGAGGGGACACACCAGTCATATATTTGATTTTGCTTGATCTTTGACATATATTTTTACAATTATTCTGACATATCTGATCGATGTTTGTCGGTATCTCAGCTAGTTAAAACACTCTTGATGGCTTATGTTGGTTTTGTAAACACTCGAGAACAGAGCCCGCGCGGTCTTACTTTCCCTCAGATTTAAAATCTCAAGCATAACGCCTTTGTCATTTCTTATCTAAGCCACAATGCATTGTTACCTTCCAGGTTTTGTTTACCCCATTATGGATTAGCTTTGTCTGGTGCTCTGTTTTATTAATGCAAGAAAAGCGACGAAGGCAACTGAACGGCTGTGTACCATGATAGGGCAGGTTGCCTGCAATAGTTGTTGTTTGTATTGTCTAATTTGCGTTGCGTGAAACACTCACTGAAGTCAAACGCGCCCTTTTTCGTGCGTTCACGTTGGCCATTGTGTTGAGTAAAGGGCGCAAACTGGGGCACATGTTACACAAGAGATATTGACGTCATGAGCACGCCTTGGTTTCCCTCTCGCTAGAACCAAGCGGTGACATTGATTCATTGGTTAAACAAAGCGGTCGAGTGCATTTACGGGTGAGGAGGACTATACACACATGTGAAAAATAACGATGCTTGCATATATAATATACAGGTACAAAAAAGGAATTATCCCAAATAAAACGTGTGAACAACATATCAATCAGCGATCTATCAAATTCACAAATGCACTCATTAGGAAACTCAAGGATAGAAATGGACTAGAACGAGGCGACTAATTAGCAGTTAATTTCTGGCCATTATCCGTGATAGTGTGTGTGTGTGTGTGTGCTGGTGATTATGTAATTTTGCTCTTTTGTTGTTGCCCCTAGGCCAAAAGGGAGTTTCTAAATACTAATGCTCAGCCATTTTGCAACAATCAGTTCGAAGATTTATTTCTCTTTAGTCACCGCCGTCATATAGCTGAAATGTTGCGGAGTGCGGCGTTAACCAGCAAACAAACAAAATCGCTTTATATTATAAAAGTAACCAGTTGTGAATAGTGGCCTGCGAATACCACCTATGTTTATTTGTTTGACTTTAGACAGGATATGAAGTATGTTCATGATGACATCAACATACACAACCTTTCGAAAGTGATATATATGGCGGAGTGAAAACATTCACATATTCATGATCAGTGTTAGGTGAGGTGAGGTGAAATTGGGTTTAACGTCGCGTCCAAGATTATTGCACTTATATAGCGACGTGCATGCACGTGTATGTGTGTGTGTGGCTGCTTGTACTAGTCCCGACTGATGCCGATTTATAGTGCTAGCTCACTGAGATACCATGCCGCAGTTTAACATGAATACCCCACTCAGACACAGTATACTGACTCCGAGCCGACCAGTCCTTGTTTTAGCCCCTTAATGCCGAGCGCCAGACAGGGTAACAACAAGTACAATCTTTTAACGTCTTTTTGTATGACGCGGCCCGGGATCGAACCCTGGACCTTCCGCTCTCCGGGCGGACGCTCTACCACAAGACCACGGAGGCGGTCCATGATCAGTGTTAAAGAGTCCAATCCAGTTCATTGTTGACACTGATGTATTTAGAATTTATTTTAGTATGAATATATCTTTCTTTCAAAAGTAAACACTTAGCGACATCTGTTAAGGGGCTTAACAGCTAAAATGTAACAAAACAGTTTCATAGAAAATCAATGGTCAGCTGAAGAATGCGTCTTTATGGAGAAACTTCCGGGTGACCAAAATGTTGTGGATTCAGGATTCAAAACACATGCAAAACGTGAGAAAAAAATCTGACTAACTTTCAACTGTGGGCCATAACAAAGTGAAGTAGTCAATGTAGCACATTGTCTCAGTAGTTCATTGCAAGTGTTTTTGGTCTTTTGATGACGTCTGTATATTAGCGACAGTCAGTTGAACGTGATTGGGTTCCAGATGGACACAGAAATGGAAAAGAACGAGTACCGAGCAGTCATCAAGTTTTTTTTACTTTTGAGAAAAGTACTCCGCAAGACATTCATGACAAGTGTATGGGGGCAATAAGTGCCTTAGCTATTTCACTGTTAAACGTTGAGCAGCTATGTTTAAGGGTGAGAGATCAAGCCTTGAAGATGACCCTAGGTCTGGACGTCCCTCAACTTCCTTCAATGAAAATTCAATCAAGGAGATAGAAAATCTTATACTGTCAGATAGACGTATTAACATTGCTGAACTGATGTTAAGGGAACAAGAACTGACATTGCCAGAGAAAATTTAGAGCTAATTGAGGAGGATTTCGTCAAATTCAAAAAGGGATTAGTAACGGGTAATGAAACATGGGTCTACCACTATGATCTCGAGTTAAAACGTCAATCCATTGAATGGCACATTCCACTTCTCTGGCACCAAAGAAATTCAAGTCTTCAAGATCAATGAAGAATGTTATGGCCACTGTATCCTGGGATGCAAAGGGTGTGATCCTTGTTGATTACTCAGAAAGTCAAAAGATGATTACCGGTGCCTACTATGCTGGTTTGCTTCCTCGCCTGAGAGATTCCCGGTTTCGAATCCTATGCCAGAGCAATCCTCTCATATGAACAACATGCAACACCCTTTTCTCTAAGTTCTTTCCTGCACGTTTATGCCATAGCAACAGTATCCTCAGTTAAGGACTGTCGTATGTATTGTATTGAAGATGTTTGAACAATCAGTCACAATTTTCTGTTGGGAGTGACTGCAAATAAATAAAATTCCAAAAGTTGAATGACTTCATTTCCAAGAATGTCTTATGGAAGCGTTGGATTACATTGCTTTGTCTTGGATTGCTTAAGGATGTGGTGCATGGGACAGTGTGTGTTCTCTACATTACCATATATACATTTTTTACAATAATATTTCTGTTTGGAAATAACTTAATTCATGTCTATGGACTTCCCATTATTGTTGCAGCTCGATATTCTCGGTCCAGCAGTTACCGCAGGACGTATTACTACAACAGCGGGAGTAGTGGGAGTGGCGACGATGAAGACACAATCATGTGAGTGTAATACTATAAAATCAGTGTTGAATCTATGTGAGTCATTATGGTGGAAAGCCCAAAGGGATCCATGTTGATGACTTTTGTGAAAACGATGAAGAAAGGAGTGGTTTGGGAGGAAGAATTACGATATCCATGAATACAATTCTTAAATTGAATGTTTGTTGTCTGGCCGTTGTTATTGATAATATACTCTTTCAAAAATGTTGGGGGTCAAGGAGGGCCCAGTCGTCTTAGGCGCCGTGATTCGCTGTGCAGAGTTTCTAGGTTTGTCAGCACCATACACCCGTGCTCGTGGGTTTCGCCGAAGTGGTACACGTCTGAGACCTGCATCACTTCGGGCTTTCCTCCCACATTAAGCTGACGCGCCGTGATATAACTGAAATACTGTTAAAAGCAGCGTTAAACCCAACTCACTCACTCACCTTAATCAACGAAAATTTAAGGTAAAGGCAATGTTTACCAATAAGAAATACGTTTGTTGTTGTTGCAATAAATACACATTATTCATTTTCATGATCCGAAAGACTCGTCGGAGTATTGGTGGGTTTCCTTGTGCTAAGCGGACTTTTCTTTGCTTTTGCCGTCTGCTATGTTAAACTGAAAAAAAGAGCTGAAAGAAAGAAAGAGGAAGCAAAAGAACTGGAGCAAAATAAAACTACCAAAAACATCGACCAGAAAAGGTTTCACTCACTTAATTTGGCCTCTCGAAAAGAAAGAGCATCTGTAAATGACATTAAATATGCATACCTGAGACTGACAACAAATATTATTAACAACATGATTTCTGATTAATTTCCCCATATTTTTTTCAGTTACAGAGCATGTTCCATAAAATACAGTTTAATTAAAACATGTTTTACACATCAACCCATTGTCGATTAACTCTTAGGAAGTTATATTATTTGAGGCAGTCGCACTTGTTTCACTTTATACTTTTGACTATTTCAGATCAAGGAATGTTGTTGGCACTACCGATTTTTAACAAGATCCCAAGGCTTTACAGTGACATGTGCATTGATATGTGTATTTTGTGGTATTATTTGTATGGTTGTAAATACCTAACATTTGTTTATTTTTATCTCATTGGTGTTTGTCTTATGTTTCTTCCGAAATTTCAGAATCATGTACATTTAAGTGAGTTAAAATTTAACGACGCATCGGCATTGCTACAGCCATATGGCGACCTATACATTTAAGAAATTTATAGATGTACATATCTTATATAACTGGTTTAGTTCCTGATTCGTTCGATCTGTAACTCCTTACGAAAATAGTCTCTGATATAAAGCTATTAATAGTGATATTGCAGTTGCATTACTTTTTGTAATCATTAGGTCTGACATTACAGACGTGTAGTGAAATTAAACACACATTAAGTGCTTCTTGTCATTATGTCTGATATTGTGAAGTTTACAGTGGTATTTGACGTTGTTGAATGTTTTCTTGTAGACAAGTTTGGGACTTTGTATGTGCCTTTGTTTATTAAAAAGGTTTGTCAAATGTTGTATTCTTACCTCGTATAAGAAATATTTGTGTGATCCTGGTATGTGGCTATGTGGTTGAAAGATTCATTTTTGTATTGGGACCTCCCATGTATCTGTCTGCCAAAAATCAACGAGAACCCTGTCGTGAACATTCAATGAATCAGTTAAACCAACTTTACAAAGAAGAATATTTTATTGCGGTAAGAGCTTATAGCACCATATAGTATATCATTTCTTTGCAGTCTTGATGCCATCCGAACGGCCTTCTGTCTCGTTGCTCGGTCTAACCTCGATCAGCTCTGCTCGATTATTTATTCCTGTAAAGTGAAAACAAAAACGAAAAAGACTGAGGTCTTTTAATAATTTTATACATTTACAGGAAGAGAATAATTCTTTGAAATGAAAGACTGCATGTGGCCACGGAAGCTTGGGATGCAGACAAAATATCGTTTATCGATTATTGAACCGATATATAGCAACGTGTACGCGTGTTAGTGTGTGTGTGTTAGTGTTAGTGTATGTGCGTGTGCGTGTGCGTGTGCGTGCGCGCGCGCGTGTGTTTGTGTGCGTACGTGCTTGTACTAGTCCCGACTAAGGCCGATTTTATAGTGCTAACCAATAGAGATAACAGGCCGCAGTTTTACATGAATACCCCACTCAGACATAGTATACTGACTCCGAGCCCACCAGTCCCTTACCTGGGATGTTTTTAGATTTCTCAGCATCATAAATGCCTATGATCTGAATCTCTTTAGGCTTTCGCCCAACACCATGTTGACAGTGATATAACTTAAATAATATTAAAAGTGGCGTTTAACCAGACTCGCACACTTTTGTCACCAATACCAGTCTCTGGTTATGTTCATGTCTGATTGGTTCACAGCCTGACAGACAACTGGTGTGTGTGCAGCATACAGAATCTGGTCCAGAGATCTGTACCATTGAACCGTGGGGATCGGGTGATCAGGCTCGGTGGCTTGGTTGATTGCATGTCATCTCATCCCAATTGCGATGTTTATGATGTCAATCACTGGATTGTCTGATCCAGATTCGACTCTTTACAGACGACCTTCAAACAGCTTGAACATTGACCCCATACAATCCCGGGCCCGCAAGACGAGAGGGTATCTTGCTAAGGGACGTAACTCTTCCATGACTGTTCGCCGACTGGCGAGAGAGGAAGCGCTTCAAGGTTATACTCCAACCAATCCTCTCCCATGAACTTCTGCAGTTACGTTATATTTTCTTTTGAAAATTAGGCATACGCAACAGCCAATCCATGGAAATATATTCATAGCCTGGTCTCAAGGCTGCAGTAAAATCACAAATAAAACGTCCATGGACACATTCACTACACACTGTACGCGAGCGGCTGGCCGAACAGTTGATTCTGATCAGGTGGAGGGGAACGTTAATAGGTGCAGTCTATCGAGGTACAGCTGGGCAGAGGACGGTCATCCCATCTCTTCAAATTAAATGATGACTGAATACTCGGATAAAATCTAGGACTATGACTTATGATAGGCCCCGTAGAGAATTCGAGATAGAATTGGTCCCCGTAAACCTATGCTGATCGTCGGAGGCGACTTAAAGGGTGAATAAACTAGGGTATTTTTTTGCTGTGGAAGTGAGTATGATACCCGTGACGATCCGGGTTAGAAGAGGTCTTCAAGAGTCGTAAGAAGCGACTAACGGGATCCGGTGGTCAGGCTCGCTGACTTGGTTGATGCATGTCATCGTGTCCCAATTGCGTAGATCGATGTTCATGATGTCAATCACTGGATTGTCTGGTCCAGACTCGATTATTTACATAGCGCCCTCATATAGCTGGCATATTGATGAATGCGGCGTTAAACAACAAACAAACAAATTTTAAGTAAGTATGATTCGGGTCTTTCAACTCTTTGGTAGTCTACCAACTCATAACGTATGATGCAAATCAGTCAAGCAGTTTATTATTACCTAGGCTTAGTGATACAGACCCTACATGACACCGGCTCAGGATAGGTCCCCAACATCCTACAAATGTAAGCTGATCGCAAGAGGTGACCATATATGGAAGCGGTGGTATGTCTCTGACGAGGTGGACCGTTGCTCACATTGTCAAAACACTGGATTGTCTGGTCCAGATGGGTTTATTTACAGGTTGCCTTCATGTAGGTGGAATCGTGCTGAGTGCGGCGTTAAACAACCAACCTTATCAACAAACACCAAATCTGGACTGGAAATGTAGACCAGACATTGGAGCATGGAGTGGATTTATATATAAAAAATTGACATTCAGTTGACAAACAATTTGACAAACAATCGACAACCTTATGAAGTTGTCAGTAAGTCAGTTGAAAAACACATACCAGAACATCAAATACAACTTTATGTAATTGACAAACAATTTCCAAACAACCTGACAACAAAATTGAATTATAACAATTGACACCCAAGTAAAATAAGAAGACTGGTAAGTATATTTGTCCCTTCCTATTTTATTTTCTAAGGGGGCCAATCTAAGACAGGCTGTTCTGTCTCCATGACAAAGATATAGCCAAGATGATTTTTTGGTCTCGAGTGAGTGAGTTGGGTTTCAACAGTATTCCAGTTATAACAAGGCTCGAGCAGGGGCTTTTTGTAGGCAACCTTTTTGAGGATAAATAAATGAATGAATGAAGAAATGAATGAATGAATGAATGATACACAGTTTACATCTCAGATAATTATCAAAGATACAAGATATCAGGAGTATAGATGCTAATGCTAATGCTATGTTTATTCATAATACATGATGCTTATGACATCCGAAAACACACCCGCGCGATAACCCCAATGTATTATGGGCAATACCTGTTGAGAGCCATGTCGAACCCAGATGACAAAACCCTTGCCACTTGCTTCACCTGCCCTAAAGAGCGGCTCAGTCTAATATTTAGCAAACAGATAGATATATGAGCAAGTGCACATGTCAGTGAATGTAAAGCATTTGTATTGAACAAGGCCAGTGTGACCTGTATCTGAGAGAAAGCAATCGTTGTGTTGATCACAAACACAACACACAAAGTTGCGCAACAAAACTGTTATACTTATCTATGTATCAGACGGATCATATCATACCATTCATAGTCTCGATCGCCCCAATATGAAAAACTTGCTACTGCACGGCTTGCCAATAATTTTGGTACTCATCCATCTCGGATCTGCAGGTAGGATGTTTCATGTGATGTTATTTCAATACAGCAATGTACTGAATGTTTGAAGGCTATCGACAGGTTACATTCATGTTTCAACAATCGTCATGACGTTCTTCACTGTCTTTATCCATCGTTCATTTTTCATCAAACGTGGTGACCATAGAGTTACATCCCTTGTCGTCAAAGCTTCAGGACAATTTGTCCTGACAGAAAGCCAGGCTTACTGAGAAAACAATCATAAAATGCTTGACGTCCTCATAGATAGTATCAAATTGAAATTAGGATATGGTCCATTTAGGCAAGAAGTAGGAGTCCCCATGGGTTAAAGATGTGGTAGCAACAATAATTAACATCCCTATTACTCAACCAGAATTTGCCACAATCAAATGTCTTTGAATGAAGCATGTGATTTTTAATCCATGAATCAGTGTTTGCAACTGGCAATAAGTTGATGGTTTCCGATAGGTACGAGGGGCGTTCAATAAGTTTTGCAACTTGGGCATTTGTGTTTACAATGTCAGCTTGTGGCAGGTGTGACACTAGTCATAACATCCGGTTGACACGTGTCATAACAAGTTCGTGACACAACAATAAGTTAGACGTGATGGCTTCATTCACCTAAGGGTCGCCGTGCATGAATGTGGATTCGAACAGTTAAATCACCCACCCTACAGCCAAAAACTTAGCTCCCAGTGACTTTTTCCTGTTCCGGCAAATGAAATCTGCTCTGCGTGGAAGACGCTTCCAGGATGACGAGGACATAAAGGCTTCCACAGAGGCTTGGTGAGAGGGTTAATCTGCGGATTTCTATAAAAGTAGTATCAAAAGCTTGAAGGACAAATGGAATAGGTGTATTGAGGTGAATGGAGAATATATTGAAAAATAAACGTGCAAAAGATATTCTGCGACTTGGTCTTATATTGAAGTTGCAAATCTTATTGAACGCCTCTCGTACACCGTCCGTAATGAGCAATTAGAAAAGACGCAAGTCAGATAATAGAAGACCATTCGTGACCAACTCGTGTTATTCCGGGACAAGCCGAATAGCGACTCGTGTCCTTCTCATGGCCATTTTTGCGACCGGGTTCAGTCTTAGCGCAAACGGGCATACCTAAACAATTGTCAGCTCGTTGTGTAATGGTTCACTTATATTTCATGTACAAGTTAAACCACATCGGGACATGCGGAATTATACAGTATGATTGAACACATTTAACTGTGTCTTGGGTATATTTTTAGATGCAAGACACATGTCAAATCAAAAATTATTTCTGAGGGATTCTTTGACGAAGAACTTGAAATCATACGCGCATTCTGATTGGTTTGGCGTATTTTCGCACATAACATTCATCGACAGGGGGTCGAGTCTTCTTGCAGGAAAGGGCCGAGTGGTGACGAATGAATAGAAGACGTTCAATCGCCCTCGTCACGTTCTTATATACATACAACCAACCTTCCAGAAACCTCTGAAGCAATAAAGTCGATACCATTGTGGATACACAAAGGCGGATAACCTTCAAGTACTCCGGTTGTTGCATGCCAACAATAGAAAATTCTAGCAACAAATAACACTTGACATTTTCGAGACGCTTTTAAGGATCAAACAAATATAGAGAGGAGCTGCCTTGTGCCTTGTGAAATATGATGTATCTCTCATTGAATGACGTGGAAAAGGAGATATCTCTTTTCCACACCACGAGATGATACAAATAACATTTCACTGGACATATGAACTATCCTATTTATTATATATACTTCATTTGTTGTTGACAGTTTTTAAAAACACTAAAACAAGTTACCCAGGGTCAAGATCGTTGATTTGGATGTCTTCATGTCTTGTATCGATGGTCTTAGTGTCAATTACAAGATAATCTGGCCCAGACTCGGTTATTTACAGAGTAGTATCATTTAGCTGGAAACGCGCTGAGTGCGGCGTTAACCAATTTACAAAACAAATAAAAAATATTATGATTAACCGTATCACAATAGCGTTATTAAAGGGGGCGGTCGGGTAGCCTAGTGGTTAAAGCGTTCGCTCGTCACGCCGAACACTCGGGTTCGATTCCCGACAAGGGTACACTGTGTGAAGCGCGTTTCTGGTGTCCCCCGCCGTGTTATTGCTAAAAGCGGCGTAAAACCAGACTCTATATATATATCTGTGACCAAGACATGTAGAAGACTGTTTTTTAGTCATTTGAATACCTAAGGCAAAGGAATCCATGCTAAATAACCTACATAGAACATAGGTACTGCTTTAATTGCGTGAGAAAGACTACACGGTAGTCTGATATTCAGCAAACAGAAAAAGAGGCTTGTGTGAATGCAAAAGCAGGTTTATTCAACAAGGTCAGTGTGACCTGAATATGAGTGAATCAATCATTGTGTTGATGACCACCCCCAACATACAAAGTTGCGTAATAGACGGTTACAGGTGATCACTGTCCCGATCGCCCAAATAGGAAACACCGGATATTGCATTGCTTGCCAACAGGTTTGGTAGTCATCCATCTCTGATCTGCAGGTAGAGTGTTTCATATGATGTCATTTCTGTAAAGAAATATACTGCATGTTTGAAGGTTGTCGACAGGTTACATGCATGTTTCAACCATCGTTATGCCGTTCTTGACTGTCTTTATCCATAGGGCATTTGTCATCAAACGTGGTGACCATAGTGTTACATCTCTTATCGTCAAAGCTTCAGGACAATTTGTCAAAACTGAAAGCAACGCTTAGTGTTATCTGAAGTTTACTGAGAAAACAATCATGACATGCTGGACATCCTCACTGATAATATCAAAGTGAAATTAGGGTATGGGACATTTAGGCAAGAAGTAGGAATCTCAATGGGTTAAACATGTGGTAGCATCAATAATTAACATGCCCTATTGCATAATAAGTTGGCAACCCATCTCGATTGGTATATGGCGTACATCACATTGTGTGTGAGCCTATGTACCCCAAACCGTTCTGGGTTAAACACGTGGTAGCAGAAATAATTAATAAAATGACTTTGATTGAGGCAGGTTCTCCGATTTCGAATCGATGAAACAGGAATAAGTCGTTGTTTTCCGTTAGGCACCCCGTCCGTACTGGATTTTGATAAGACGCAAGGTTTAGTATTCATCCATCTCGGATCTGCAGGTAGGATGTTTCATATGATGTTATTTCGATACAGCAATGTACTGAATGTTTGAACGCTATCGACAGGTTACATGCATGTTTCAACAATCGTTATGCCGTTCTTGACTGTCTTTATCCATAGGGCATTTGTTCTCAAACGTGGTGACCATAGAGTTACATCCCCTATCGTCAAAGCTTCAGGACAATTTGTCCTGACAGAAAGCCAGGCTTACTGAGAAAACAATCATAACATGCTTAACGTCCCCATAGATAGTAATACTATCAAATTGAAATTAGGGTATGGGCCATTTAGGCAAGAAGAAGGCATCCCCATGGCATACATCAGTGCATTATGTGATGTTCTGCACACAAAGGAAAGGCTCTCATTCCACCACCAGACAGAAGAGTATAGTTGGAAGTCTACTGAGGATGTCATGGAATCTATCCTCATGACCCAGGAACGAATGCCAGCGCTGTGCCTGGAATGATCACCTGTGAATGCACAAGCAGATGCGCCTCATCCAGGTGCAGCGGCGCCAAGAACAACATGGGATGTTCCCTTGGATGCAGTTGTGATATGTCATTCCTTAACTGAAAAAAACATCTACCTCTCAAGAAAAGATTGACGGTGACAAGACATTATTTCACACACCTTGACTCTGTAGTGTAATTTTTATATACTTCCTAATACTACAAGTATTCACGTGGTTTCTTTCACTTAAATTATAGACCAGTGAAATGTTCGGAGAAAGGTCCAGTATATCTTCAATTCTGATTGAAACTATGTCCATCTTAATTGAAATCTGACTTTGGGGCGTGTTGGTGTCGCTAGAGAAAATAGCTTTCAATATAACATTTGTTTTATTGTTTGGGATCAATTTACCTACTCACGCGGTTTGAAAATGAAGTAAAACAACATGATTTTTACACTGAGAATTAGAATAACTGTTAAATGGAACACAATATTTGCCAATTTCTGATAAATTCAAATACAAATCTTACAACCACTTTTGTCAAATTGTATGCAATTTTGACCTCCTAAAAATCATGCACACACTTGCATGCTTACTACCCAATGAAAATTGTGTACACACACGTCCTTTATGCAACAAAAAAGGTTATACGGGAAAATGTGGAACGAGAATCTTGTTTTCACCCCTGACCAACTGACTACAACTAAAACGCAAAATCTCATGGAGGTTCAACTATGCACAATGACGGAATGAAGTCCACATCACTTGTGATGAGGGTTTTTTTATTTTAAAATGGGCCTCCGCTGAAGTAGGTATTTAAGAACCTTTCAATCACCTGAAGTTCTGCTGAACGTGCTTTGTTCACAAACATGAACAGGGTGTTTACAAACATTGTATTAACATTAACAAACATTGTATCCTCTGTGTAATAAACTGTTACAAGACTAGTGTAATCAAACATCTGCCTTCACTATATTAACGTGTCATACCAGAATTAAAGTTTGTTTCTAAATAGTTGAATATGCTGGGATTCGAACCCTGATACCTGATGAAATTTCACAGTCATACCACCGACGCCAATCACTTTGAAGGAAAGGTTTTAGAAGTGATGCTTATGAACTGTTGGAAACTATAACTTTGATTATGTAAACAAAAATATGCTTAGTTTTTGTTCTAACCGCATCCGTGGTCTTGTGGTAGAGCAAGATGTCACCTCACCTAACCTAGATTTTGTTCTTGAAATGTGCATCTGAATGATTTCCTAAAATACTAATTGTCTTCTCTATGTATTGAATAGAGACGGACGCTATTTGTTATCACGACTGGTTTGTTGTTTAACGCCACACTCATCAATATTACAGCTATATGACGGCGGTCTGTAAATTATCGAGTCTGGACCAGACAATCCAGTTATTGATATCATGAGCATCAATCCACGCAATTGGGATCGATGACATGCATCATCCAAGTCAGCGAGCCTGACCACCCCGTTAGTCGCCTCTAACGACAAGCATAGTCGCCTTTTATGGCAAGCATTTGTACCTGAAGACCTATTCTACCCCGGATCTTCACGGGTCTTTGTTATCACAAGAACCATGTTACACTTACAATTGAGTATTGTTGTATAGGGAGGACACGCCAGACATTGTTTGATTTGACATATCTACATGTGTTTCAATTTGTTCTGACATATTTGATCGTTGTTTGTCGGTATCTAAGCTGGTTAAAACTTATACGTGCCTCGCTTATGTTTGGTGTTGTAAATCCTCGAGAACGGAGCCCCCTCGGTCTCACTTACCCTCTTACTTTGCCTACAATAGGTGTTGTCTACATTATTTATCACTCACAGAAGTCACACTTGCCTTATTCCGTGAAGTAACTTTAATGTCGCAAACTGTGAAATCTGAGCGTTCATTGGTCTCAGCACTTGCTGATGCACCAGGCCGTGTCTCGATTTCTTGGTTAAAAAAGAGAAAGCATAGCGGTCGAATGCATTCACGGGTAATAGACCTGCGACAAATTGACGATGTCTGCATACATGACAAGGATGGGTTTTTTTAAATAAAACATACGTGTAAAACATATCGATCAGCGATCGTTTAAATTCACAAATGCACTAACTTCGAAACTCCAGGTTAGAAATGGACGATGGCGAGGATACTAAATGGACCCGGTGGTCAGACTCGATGACTTACATGATTGCCTGTGATTGTGATGGCGTTGGACGTTTCTCACGCCTGGGTATGGAGAACGTTGATTGCATCATCACACACACACACATTTTTCAGGAAAGTGAAATATATTGCAGTGTGAAAACATGTTTTAATATCTTGTTCGAAAAATTAAGGTCCAATCCAGTCGATATAACGGATATGGTTGACACTTTTTCAGGCATCCATATTAATATGAAAAAACATTTCTTCTAAAATGATAACATTTAGTTACATCTGTTTAAGGGTTTTAAAGCTGAAGTCTTACAAAACATTTTCATCCATATTTACCTGATCCCTTCATCACTGTGAGTTTGGTTGGACAGTCCCTGTACAAAGCCTTCACAGAAGGTACGACGTCTCGGGTTTGCAAGTGCAAAAGCCTTGACAATGTCGGTTATGCATATGCTATCAAGATCCTCTTTGTGAACGGGCAGCAGCATGGTGGTGTTAAGACTTTGCTGGATCATGGTTCGTCTAAGACAAAAGAATGACCGTTCAGATGTTGAAGTGTAGTGTCTGGTATTGTCAGGTAAATCTTGAGTAGCTTGACAACTTCAATGAACATGCCCAAGATGTGTTCAAGACATCACATGAAGTATGAACTGATGTAACTTCTTTGATCTCGCATTCACCCATCCTGGACACAGATGTGATTCCGAATCTTATGCCAGAGCAACACGTGTACAACACCCTTCTTCTCTCCGTTGTGTCCTGAACGTTTATGTCATATCAACAGTATCCTCAGTTCACCACTGCTGCATATATTACATCCCTTATATTGTTGATGAAACTCTTTAGCTCAATCTTTAGCCACTCTTTTCCAAGGCAACAGATGACAGTTTTAAAAATCAATCCAAACTTCATTTCAAGGAATTTCCTTTGAAAGCTTTGGATTTAGTTTCTTTGTCTTAGATTGCTCTCCACATTATCATATAAACAACAATTTAAAGTAATATTTTTGTTTGTAAATAACCTAATTCATGTATTTAGATTTACCATTCTTGTTGCAGCTAGGGGAGGAAGATTTTCCGGGAGTAGAAGTGGAAGTTACCGCAGGACCTATTACAGTTCCGGGACCTATTACAGATCGGGTGGTGGGTGGGGTGGGGGTGGCGTCAGTTCAGACACATTGAGGTAAGTGTACAATATCAGTGTTAAATCTGTTGTAAGTTATTATAGGTGGAAAGCCAAAATGGATCCATTTTGATCAGTTTGGTGGAAACCATGAAGAAAGGAGTGGTTCAGGAGGAAGAACAATGATAAACATATGCCCGTCTTTAGCATATTAAGTCTGGGAATTAGGACATACACATGCTTCTATGATGAAATTGTATGAATTCAGTTGTATATACCTCGCATGACGAGTTTTGTTGAGTTCAGATATACGTATTTTAATGAAGTAATCCCTGAAACCTACGTACATTATTGCTTGCTTTATTCTTTACACCGTTATCAAGCAAGTAAGTGAACCTACACCGAAACGTCGCTCTTAATTGTAATAAAGAAGTTGTTCTTCTATAATTCTTATCCTTACTTAGTACTCCAACTTCTAAATGCCTATCAAAGAAGTTTATCTTAATTGTTTGTTTGCTGTGTGACGACTGTGATTGGTGCTAAATTCTTCATAATAAAATATGGATACTCTGAACTAACTTATATTTTCAAAATTGTAAGAGATATTAGTTTTTAGTAAGAGTTTTATGATAATAATGACCTAATTGCAAACACATTACAACCAGCATTGACGTAAGACAGTTGATGTTATTACCACCAATGGTCTTGAAGGACGATATGGGTAAGATAAGAAATTTCAAAGTGGACGTTTTTATCAATAGTGCGTTATATCGCCACGATGTGTCAAACATTTGCAAACAAGACACACCGCGTATGAGTCTCCTAATGGCGGTTTGAGGGAGTCTGTCCAACTCCTCTTGACGCGCCTGGACACCGTTAGTCAAAGAACGAATTATAACGTTGACGCACACCTCTCCCTATCATGTCCTGGACGTGTTCCATTGGTGAAAGGTCTTTGCTCGTTGCTGGCAATGGCATTCTATGGGTGTTATGCCGGTGTAGGTGAGCATTGACGATTCGTGCACAGAAAGCTCGGGCGTTGTCGTCCTGAAAGGCACAGTGTCGGAACACCAGTCTAGCAAACTGGACAATAATGGGTGTCAGTCCGGACTAGTACAAGCAGCCACAGAGAGAGAGAGAGAGCGAGAGAGAGACACACACACACACACAGAGAGAGAGACACACACACACACAGAGAGAGAGAGAGAGAGACACACACACACACACACACACAGAGACACACAGAGAGAGAGAGAGATACGCTATATAAGTGCAATAATCTTGGACGCGACGTTAAACCCAATTTCACCTCACCACCACCATCTGACAATAGGACAGTGACCAGCGACGATTACCCCAGTTGTGAACACCATTGACATCTGTTGGCAATTTGTAAGGGCACGGCACAACACGTGGCCGTCGAGCATTGAGATGGCCTACATGTTGGCGATGTCTCGTCATTTGACCCTTCACTGGATTGTGTAAGCAGGTCCAGACTGCACATCAGAAAGTTGATGATCGGGGTGGTGGTCATTGTTGTTGTATTACGGCAAGCATTGTAGCATTAAGGCAACAACCAATCCATGACATGTCCTTAGAGGCCCTCAGTCAAACTGGTATCTCTTCTTGCAGCATAGTCTTTTGGCAGAATGAACATGTCTTTGCTAATTATCGGGGGCACGGGTGGCCAAGCCGCCTAAGGCGCCGCTGTGCAGAGTTGCGTCCCTTGGGCACGCCAGAAACCTATCATTGTGGGTTCATATCCCGGTTCGCCCCGATTGTTTCTAGGTTTGTCAGCACGTACCATACCCGTGCTTGAGGGTTTCACCGAAGTGGTAAACGTCTGAGACCTGCATCACTTCGGGCTTTCCTCCCACATTCAGCTGACACGCCGCGATATAACTTGAATAGCGGCGTTAAACCGAACTCACTCTCTCACTTTGCTAATTATCATGAGTTATCTTACTTACAAATTGGACAGTGCTTATTTGGATTTTTAACCAAACGTGATGCCGAAAATGTGGTGCATAATCTCCCCTTTGTGTTTGTGTTAATATATAAGCAAAAACATTTGCTTTGGGGCATATTGATGAGATATGTGTTACTGCTGGACATGACAATTGTCGCTGACTGACGTCGTTTGCAGATATAATGACTGTTCAAAATATCAGCTTCTTGAGTCTATAAAACATGATATTTCGCTTATGAATAGTCAATAAAATAATAAATGTAAACTCTATGGACTTCGCCAGTATAGTATTCTGATCTCCCTATTAAACTATAGGTACATTTTTTATGAAAACGCTTCAATATGTCAACAATCACGTACGCCAACTTGTCAATTCCATGAACAGACAATTTGAAAAGTGTTCAACAGAAGTTTGTTCTAGGGAAGACATTTGATGGATATCGTATATGATATGTATATAAATATTTGATTCCACAACATAAATTAAAGGACGAAAAGATGTTAATTTGTTGCTGTTTTTACAATAACTTACTATAAATTATTTTCATGATCCCACAGATATGTCTACATTGCGATCATGGGTGCCATTGTTATCGGCCTAAGCATCTTCATCTGCTGCGTCTGCTATTCAAATGCTAAACAAAGGAGAGAGATAGCAAAACGAGATGGGGGAAAAACTTCCAAAAAGGTCGACCAGAAAAGGTTTCAATTACCTCTGCCTCTCGAAAAAAAAGAGCGTTATTAATTGATATTAAATATGCATACCTTAATCTATTATTTTTTAAGAACAATGCCATTTCGAATAAATGCATCTTCCATATTATTCAATTCAATTAAAACATGTTTTACCCATTGTTGATGGCTTTTGGGAAGTTAAAGCTTTCAGAGGCAGTCGCACTTGTTTCTCTTTATACTTTTGACTTTTTCAGATCCAGGAATGTTGTTGGCACTACCGATTGTTAACAAGATCCCAAGGCCTTACAGTGACATGTGCATTGATATGTGTATTTTGTAGTATTTTGTATGGTTGTAAATAACTCCCATTTGTTTATTTTTATCTCATAATATTTCTTCCGAAATTTCAGAATCATGTACATTTAAGAAATTTATAGATAATAATTCATATATTGCATGAGTGGTTTAGTTCCTGATTCGATCTGTTACTGCTTACGAAAAATTCTCTGATATTAAGCAATTAAAAGAGATATTGCAGTAGTATTACTTTTTGTGGTTATTTGGTCTGACATTAGTCGGACGTGCAGTGAAATGGAATACTGCTTCTTGACATTATGTCTGATATTGTGCAGTTTATAGTGGTATCTGACGTTGTTAAATGTTTTACAAGTCTGGGACTTAATATGTGCCTTTATTCATTAAAATGTTGTATACCTACTTTGTATAAGAAAGATTTGTGTGATCCTGGTATGTGGCTATGTGGTTGAAAGATTCAATTTTTGTTTTGTATCTGTCTGCCAAAACTCCAAGAGGTCCCTGTCGTGAACTTTCAATGTTTGTTTGTTTAACCCTGCACTTAGCAATGTTCCAGCTATATGACGGCGGTCTGTAAATAATCGAGTCTGGACCAGACAATCGAGTGATTGACATCATGAGAATCGATCCACGAAATTAGGATACGATGACATGCATCAACCAAGCCAGTGAGCCTGAACACCAGATCCTGTTAGTCGCCTCTTGCGACAAGCACAGTCGCCTGTTACGACAAGCATAGTCGCCTTTTACGACAAGCATAGTCGCCTTTTACGACAAGCATAGTCGCTTTTTACGACAAGCATAGTCGCCTTTTACGACAAGCATAGTCGCCTTTTACGACAAGCACAGTCGCCTTTTACGACAAGCATAGTCGCCTTTTACGACAAGCATAGTCGCCTTTTACGGCAAGCATGGGTTGCTGAAGACCTATTCTACCCCGGATAGTTCGGGCCGAACTTTCAATGAATCAGTTAAACCAGCATTCAAAGAAGAATATTTTTTGCAGTAACAACTTATAGCACCATAAAGTATATCATTTGCAGTCATGATGTCGCCCGAACGGCCTCTCGTTGCGCAGTCTAACCTCGATCAGCTCAGCTCAATTATTTATTCGTGTAACGTGAAAACAAAAACGAAAAAGAATGACGTCTATGATAATTTTATACGTTTACAGGAAGAGAATGATTCTTTGAAATGGAAGACTGCATGTGGCCACGGAAGCATGGGATGCAGACAATGGGATGTGTGTGTGTGTGTGCGCGCGCGAGTGCGTGGCTACGTGTACTAGTCCGAACTAATGACGATTTTCTAGTGCTAGCCCAATGAGATACCATGCCGCAGTTTAACAAGAATAACCAAACTCAGACACAATATACTGACTCAGAGCCGACCAGTCCTTGTCCTTGTTTACGCCCCTTAATGCCGAGCGTCTTTTGGTATGACTTGATATAAATCAGCTGCATCAAGGTGGTTATTGTGATTTGATATCTCTGACTGACCAATCCGAATTGAGAAATTTCCAAATTCACGGTAGAATGTTCAATTCCGACTATAACATAATCATGTGTTTATGAATGTGGGTCACACCTCCAAATTTGACGCATCTTTGAGTGAGTTGGGTTTAATGCCGCTTTTAACAGTATTCTAGTTATATCACGGCGTGTCAGCTTAATGTGGGAGGAAAGCCCGAAGTGATGCAGGTCTCAGACGTTTACCACTTCGGTGAAACCCACGAGCACGGGTATGGTGCTGACAAACCTAGAAACATAATCGGGGCGAACCGGGATTCGAACCCACAATCATAGGTTTCTGGCGTGCCCAAGGGACGCAACTCTGCACAGCGAATCGCGGCGCCTTAGACGACTGGGCCACCCGTGCCCCCGACGCATCTTTGAACAAAAGTATGTCCGATTTAATTCATTGTTTTGACTTGTTCCATATGTTCCGTATTTGTTCACATTTGACTTACCGTTGCGTGTGTTTGTGACTGGTGCCACCGGTGGAACAGGATACGCTCACCTTTATTACGCGCACACCTGGTATCATCACGATTTGATAATGACTTATAAACATACGATTATGACATAATCGAATAGGTATTCATTAACCCGTGTTGGTGATATAGTTGGACAGTGATTGATAAACACATACTTATAGCATAGTCGAGGAGAGATATTTCTTATTATTATGGAATTGGTCATTTCGCTTTTCATACATATACACACACAGAAACGCACACGCACACGCACACGCACACGCACACGCACACGCACACAAACAAACAAACTGAACAATACCATCACTGTATTCTTTCATAACATATATTCGACCGCTTCCGTGGTGTGGTATGCTTGCCGTAAGAGGCAACTAACGGGATCGGGTGGTCAGGCTAGCTGACTTGGTTGATGTACTTCATCGATCCCAATTGCGTGGATAGATGCTCATGATACCAATCACAGGATTGTCTGGTCCAGACTCGAATATTTACAGACCGCCCTCATATAGATGGAATATTGCTGAGTGCGGCGTAAAACAACCAAACAAGCAAACAACCAACCAACCCGGGTGTGGTGGATAAAGTGTCTGCCCAGACAGCGGGAGGTCGTTGATAGCTATATTAGTGAAATAATCCCGAACGCGACATTCAACCCATTTTAACTTACCTCGCAATAACACACATTCCCTATATAAATACACGCTTCATGTGCACTAACCTTGCCTTTTTAAAGGTCACTCTTGTTAACATTACCGACATGAGATTGTCAGCGTAAATATATTTGATCTTTCTTCCAACAGTATCTAGCTTGCTACCAATACTTGTCAAACTGTGGTTATATTAAACACGTCCCATTTTAATTCTGGAAACCCAAAAGTCCAGAAACTCTACGCTCTTTGCCCAGTCTCGGTTAAAGGTATTTACAAAATTAAACATGCCGTTTTCATGGGAACATACCAAGGAAGAAAAAATGAAAAAAAAATTGTTTAAAAACTCAATATTTAGACTATGTCGCCCATGGGCCTGCCCATGGGCGAAGTCTGGCCCATGGGTAGGCCCATGGGCAGGCCCATGGGCGAGAATATGTTCCTTAACTTAAAACTCATGTTTTTGATTCGCAAATACATTTAATGTATTCATTCAAGTATCATGACACAATATTTAACTCATTTTAACTTAATTCAACGATTTTATAGCGATATTGAAATATTTCGCCCATGGGCGAGAAAAAGGTTTGGCCAATGGGCGAGAATATGTTCCTGTACTTAAAACTCATGATTTTGTTTCGCAAATACATTAAATGTATTTATTGAAGTATCATGACACAAAATTTAACTCATTTTAACTAAATTCAACGATTTTATAGCGATATTGAAATATTTCGCCCATGGGCGAGAATATGTTCCTGTACTTAAAACTCATGATTTTGTTTCGCAAATACATTTAATGTATTTATTGAAGTATCATGACACAAAATTTAACTCATTTTAACTTAATTCAACGATTTTATAGCGATATTGAAATATTTCGCCCATGGGCGAGAAAAAGGTTTGGCCCATGGGTAGGCCCATGGGTAGGCCCATGGGCAGGCCCATGGGCGAGAATATGTTCCTTTACTTAAAACTCATGTTTTTGTTTCGCAAATACATTTAATGTATTCATTTAAGTATCATGACACAAAATTTAACTCTTTTTAACTTAATTCAACGATTTTATAGCGATATTGAAATATTTCGCCCATGGGCGAGAAAAAGGTTTGGCCCATGGGCGAGTATATGTTCCTGTACTTAAAACTCATGATTTTGTTTCGCAAATACATTAAATGTATTTATTGAAGTATCATGACACAAAATGTAACTCATTTTAACTTAATTCAACGATTTATAGCGATATTGAAATATTTCGCCCATGGGCGAGAAAAAGGTTTGGCCCATGGGTAGGCCCATGGGCAGGCCCATGGGCGAGAATATGTTCCTTTACTTAAAACTCATGTTTTTGTTTCGCGAATACATTAAATGTATTTATTTAAGTATCATGACACAAAATTTAACTCATTTTAACTTAATTCAACGATTTTATAACGATATTGAAATATTTCGCCCATGGGCGAGAAAAGGGTTTGGCCCATGGGCGAGAATATTTTCCTTTACTTAAAACTTATGTTTTTGTTTCGTAAATACATGCAGGAGTTCTAACTATTTTCATGGCACATAATGTAACACAATTTTACTCAATTCAGCTATTTTACAGATTTATTGAAATATTTCGCCCATGGGCGAGAAAAGGTTTTGCCTTCGAAATCCTTGATTATTATATCATGCCAGAGTTCTGAAATTCAGTGACAATGCTGTTGAACAGTAGAATCTGATTGACGTATTTTGCAGAACCTGTTTGACACTATGGGTTCCAGGACCACTAACACTCTGAGCTGAAAAAGTTTGGTCCTAACCGCACCCAACATCTTTAATGAACCCGGCCTTATCTCTCAAAACGTTTTGGCAGTTTATCATACGAATTCATGTGCGTGTACAACATTAAATTTTAGTTAGTTTCTATTTCATTTCCCATTTTATGACCCGTTGATACATCACACTGGGCAATTACGTGACAGGTACGCGTGCGCGTATTTTAATGGAAAGAAACTATTCGTCTTTTATTGCATAACGTTTGGCTGAATATCTTACATTCTAACGAAATCTCGAAATAATTATTTAATTACAAGCAGTGTCGAACTGACCAGTAGGAATTATGTTTCAATGCGATTGAGGAAAACGTGAGTGAATATTGTGACACTAAAGCAACTTTTAACTGCATTGTCACTTTTGGTATGAAAATGGTAATAGTTAAGAAAAACGTAACAGCCTTCTTATGATAATTCTCATATTCTCATTAGTACGTTGTGTCTAATTACAGTGTCGGCCTTATTTACAGGTGATTCTACAATACTTGTTGTCGGTCAATTACAATCTGCCACACCACGCGTGAATAAACAGTTATGCAGGTGTTGCTGTGGGCAAATACCTAGCCTGTACATGTTATTTTTGTGGATACATGTATTACATATTTTCGTTGATATGTGGATATATTAAGCACCAAGACACAAAAAGTTTATGAAAGATGAATTTGTGCCTTGATATATATATTCAACGCGAACGAAGCTTGTATTTTCTCCGCGATCC